CGCCAGGGGGCGTCGCCTCGTCTGTCGGTTGTACGCTTTTCTGCTCACGTGTGACACTGACCCTCCACGTCTTCAGAGTGTGTCTCTCGGGTGTCGACCTGTGTTGTTCGGATAATTAATTCACAAAGTCTGCTCGCAAAACATGGAACACGAATACATAATACATTTTGAAATAACAAAGAACAATATATACAACACAGCTCGGGGTCCACAGCGCGGAGCACAGACACGTCGCTCGCTCCAACTGCTGCGTGCTGGTACACCGCTGTGTGCACGTACACGCACCTCATGCCGCTCGGCGGGGGCGGGAGCGAGGCGCGCGCGACAAGGCGCGCGCCGCCCTCCCCGCCGCTTGCTCTGGGGAGGGGGAGGGGGGGGGCGGCTCAGTCGTCGTAGGTGCAAATCCCGACGCCCGCGCCCGCCATCTTGCACGAGGCCGACGCGCCGCACGCTCCGTCCGCCTTCTTTTGGTCGCGGATCTGGCCGTCGACGACGTCCTCCGCGGGCGCGCAGACGAGCGCGCAGTACTCCTTGAGGGTGCCCGCCTCCTTGAGCGCGCACATCGGCTTGGCCGTCACCGAGCTCGGCACGTCGGTCGGACACGGCTTGAAGAGGGAGCACGCGGACGAGCAAAAGTCGCCTCCGAGGCCCTGCACCTGCACCTCGATCTCGTCGGAGAGGCATCCCGCCTTTGGGTCGCCGTAGTGCGTCGTCGTCTTTGGCGGAGGGCCGGGCGGCGTCGGCGGCGTCGGCGCCGCCATGTGCACCCCCTTGGGGTACGAGGCCTGCGACGAGATGCCGCACATGTTCTTCCCTTGCACGACGCGCACAAAGCCCTCCTCCCCCCACGTGCCGCCCCAGCTGTTCTTGATCTTCCAGTAGTCCTTGCCGGTCGCCGTGTCGGTGCCGTAGCCGACGACGAGCACCCCGTGGTCGAGCTCCTTGCCGCAGCTCGCCGAGTCGATGACGCCCGACTGGTACAGCTGGAACGCGCTCTTGTCCGCCTAGGGGGAGATGTGGGGAGATGTGGGGAGATGTGGGGAGATGTGGGGAGATGTGGGGAGATGCGGGGATATGTGAGGAGATGTGGGGAGATGTGGGGAGATGTGGGGAGATGTGGGGAGATGTGGGGAGATGTGAGGAGGTGTGAGGAGATGTGGGGAGGTGCGGGGAGATGTGGGGAGATGTGGGGAGATGTGGGGAGATGTGGGGAGATGTGGGGAGATGTGGGGAGATGTGAGGAGATGTGAGGAGATGTGGGGAGGTGCGGGGAGATGTGAGGAGATGTGGGGAGATGTGGGGAGGTGTGGGGAGGTGTGGGGAGATGTGGGGAGATGTGGGGAGATGTGTCGGGGACGAGCAGAGTGGTAAAGACCTCAATCGCCACAGAGACGGGCTGCTTTGCGACGGCGGCGCGGAGGGCGTCTTCGTCGCCCGAGGGAACGTCCTGCGCGCGCGGGCGGAGGGGGCGGAGATACGGCTGGGGCGCGGCGGGCGGGGATCGGGACAGGCCGACGGCGGCGGGGGCTGCACGGGCATCTGCCAGGGCTGCCGGGTGCGGCCGGCGCGGCGCGCCTTGTGCGACGTGAGCGACACCTCCCCGTTGCACGCCTTCTTGCAGGTGCCGGTGAGGCCGGCGCCCGAGGTGTAGGGGTACGTCGACTCGGTGCACAGCGGGTTGCCCTCCGCGATCCACTCGAACGCGTTGTCCATCAGGCCGCCCTTGCAGCCGTGGTCGCCGTTCGTGTCGCACTGCACGAGCTCCTATGGGGAGATGTGGGGAGATGTGGGGAGATGTGGGGAGATGTGGGGAGATGTGGGGAGACGTGGGGAGATTTGGGGAGATATGGGGAGATATGGGGAGACGTGGGGAGATATGGGGAGATATGGGGAGATATGCACGAGCTCCTCCTCAGAGAGCGAGACCAGCTTGCCGGTGGCGATCGCGAGGCCGCCCTCGACCGCGCCAGTCGTGGAGAAGGCCCAGCAGGAGCCGCAGTGACGCTGGTTCTTGACCGGCGTGACCGCGCCCTGCTTGACCCAGTCCACCGCCTTTGGCAGCGCGAGCGCGTGCTCCGTGTCCTTGAGGTGCACGCGGCGCGCATTCTTCGGGTTGCGGTTGAGGAAGAGCTCCGACATGACGGTGGTCGAGAACTGCTCCCAGGTCATGTCGGACCACTCGTTGTGCCCCAGCGTCCACGACAGGTTCTTGGCGTTGTGCGAGCGGATGATGGCGTCGTTAGACGACCACGCGGCAAGCGCAGACGCCTCGGCGTCGGTCGAGCCGTACGACTTGCCGTGCGCGGCCTTCCACGCGTTGAACCCGCCGATCAGCCCGTCGCCGGACCAGGCGAAGGCGCCCGTGCAGAGGGAGAGCATTACGGACGTCTCGAGGGAGGACAAGGTTTGGCCGCTCCCAAAGCGACCGCCTTTACTTCGAGCAAAAGAATTAGTATCAGGCGCGTCGAGCAGGCGCCCCGCACACCCCTCTCTTCCGTTCGCCTCCCGCCGACGCCCGTGCACATGCAACCCCGCCCAGCGCCGGCGCAGGCCCCTCAGCACAGAGCCGCCTCTCACACCCCTCCCCCGCCGCGCCTCTCCCTCCCTCCGCAGGTCAAGGACGAGCTGCCCGAGTTCGAGATGACCGCTGAGTACCTCGACCCGGCCGCAAAGTACGTCTTCAAGTATGGCATCGGCTACTCGGTCTTCCTCATCTTCATCTGGCCGTCATCGCGTGGGGCGTCTTCGACAAGGCCAACTACACGCTCTGGGCCTCGGTCGCCTACTGCTGGGGCTCGTCATCGTCGTGCTGCCCGTCTACGAGTCGTGGGGCTCGCTCTCCAACGTGCTGACCTGCACCAAGCCCGCGCCGGAGGCGAAGGAGTGAAGAGCTCGGCCAATATTCGCTACGCGCCCCCCTCCAGCGCCCGCAAGCGGGGCGGCGTGCCTCGCCCCCCTGGGCGCGCTGCCGGGAGAGCTGTGTGTGTGTGGGGGGGGGGAAGTGTTGCGTGCGGGGGCATGGCTGGGCGCCTGTGCGACGCGCTGGCCAACGCGCAGGAGCGCCCACTGGCCCAGCGCAAGCGGGGTCTTGTGTACAGTTGTGGGAGTTACGTGATGTGTTGTACACTTTGCTAGCATAAACTGTGAACCCAAGAAAACGAGGGTAGACCGGACGCGGACGGCTCGAGTCGTGTACTTGCTCGACCCTCGACCGCGGCCCGAGCTCCGGCCGCACATGAAAATGAACATGTACCCATGCCCTCGACAAATGCCCCCCCCCCCCCCCGCGCGCGCGCCTTCTCCGAGCGCCGCTCAGTCAGGCGCCCTTGAAATTTTGGGGCTTCTCGAGCGGCGGCCGGTGTGGACGCCGTTGTTTCGCAGCTCGGTCGGGGGAGGCGGCGCCCCTGCGTTTCGCTGTGGTCGGTCGAAAATATTGCTCTTCTCCGAGGGCCAGCCGCTCGTCGTCACCCTCGCGTGTGGCCACTTCCTCTGCCATGACTGCTGGCGCACCCCCCACTGTGAATTCACAGCTCCCGGTCCTCAAATAGCCCGGAACCCTGCCATGGTGGGAATCGATTCCCCGAGTCTGACGCGGCCGTGCTAGCGGTGGAGCGTGGCGAGGAGGAGGCGGTGCTGGCGTGGCTCGACAGCGGCGGGCGGGTCGACGCGACGTACGAGAGAGGCGAGGCGAGCGGCATCACGCTGTTGACGACCGCCGCCGCCAATGGCCACGATCGGGTGGTCGAGCTGCTGCTCCGGCGTGGGGCGAAGGTCAACTTGCAGAACAGCGACGGCGTCACCGCGCTGATGGGCGCCGCCTTCCAAGGCCACGAGCGGGTGGTCGACGTGCTGATTCGGCGCGGCGCTGAGGTCAACCTGCAGAGGAGCAACGGCTTCACCGCGCTGATGATCGCCGCCCTCTTCAACCACCCCGCCGTCGTGCGGCGCTTGCTGCGGGCGGGCGCAGACGCGGCGGCGCGCGATGAAAACGGCAAGACGGCGCTGCAGCTGGCCGAGAAGAAGGGCCACGCCGAGTGCGTCAAGGTCTTGTCGGAGGCGGCGGCGGCTGCAGACGGCCGGGCGGGGGCGGGCGGCGCCTCCTCGGGCGCGGCAGCGGCAGCGGTGGACGCGCCGCTGCTCGGCCAGCGAGTCGAGCTCGGCGGGCTCTCTGCCCGCCCCGAGCTGAACGGGCAGCGGGGCGTGGCGCGGAGCTTCGAGGGCGGGCGGTACGCGGTTGCGCTCGAGGGCGGCGGCGAGAGCGTGCGGGTGCGGCCGGGTAATCTGTCGGCAGCGGCGGCGGCGGGGCGGGCGTCGAGCGGTGTCGTGGCAGCCCCCGATGCGGTCGTGGCAGCAGCGGCTCATCGAGGCGATGAGGAGGCGCTGCTGGCGTGGCTCGACAGCGGCGGGCGGGTCGACGCGATGTACGAGAGAGGCGGCGTGAGCGGCATCACGCTGCTGATGGGCGCCGCCCGCTACGGCCACGAGCGGGTGGTCGACTTGCTGCTGCAGCGCGGCGCGGAGATCAACCTGCAGAGCAGCGTCGGCGACACCGCGCTGATTGGCGCCGCCGTGTACGGCCACGAGCGGGTGGTCGAGTTGCTGCTGCGGCACGGGGCGAAGATCAACCTGCAGAACAGTGACGGCGACACCGCGCTGCTGCTCGCCGCTGCCCGACGCCACGAGCGGGTGATCGACTTGCTGATTCGGCGCGGCTCTGAGGTCAACCTGCAGGACAGCGACGGCCGCACCGCGCTGATGTGGGCCGCAATCGGAGGCCACGAGCGGGGGGTCGACTTGCTGATTCGGCACGGCGCGAACTTCAACCTGCAGGACAGCGACGGCGGCACCGCGCTGATGGCCGCCGCCGGCAACGGCCAGGAGGGGGTGGTCGACTTGCTGCTTCGGCGCGGCGCTGAGGTCAACCTGCAGAGGAGCAACGGCTTCACCGCGCTGATGATCGCCGCCCTCCTCAACCACCCCGCCGTCGTGCAGCGCTTGCTGCGGGCGGGCGCAGACGCGGCGCCCACTGTCAACGGCAAGACGGCGCTGCAGCTGGCCAAGGAGCAGGGCCACGCCGAGTGCGTCAAAGTCTTGGCTGAGGCGGCGGCGGCGGTGGCAGACGGCCGGGCAGGGGCCGGCGCCTCCTCGGGTGCGGCAGCGGCAGCGGTGGACGCGCCGCTGCTCGGCCAGCGAGTCGTGCTCGGCGGGCTCTCGGCACGCCCTGAGCTGAACGGGCAGCGAGGCGTGGCGCGGAGCTTCGAGGGCGGGCGGTACGCGGTGGCGCTCGAGGGCGGCGGCGAGAGCGTGCGGGTGCGGCCCGGTAATCTGTCGCCGGCTGCGGCGGGGCGGGCGTCGAGCGGTGTCGTGGCAGCCCCCGATGCGGTCATCGCAGCAGCGGAGCGTGGCGAGGAGGAGGCGGTGCTGGCGTGGCTCGAGGGCGGCGGGCGGGTCGACGCGACGTACGAGAGAGGCGACGTGTGCGGTATCACGCTGCTGATGGGCGCCGCCGTGTGCGGCCACGAGCGGCTGGTCGAGCTGTTGCTGCAGCACGGCGCGAAGATCGACCAGCAGGACAGCGACGGCGGCACCGCGCTGATGTTCGCCGCCCGCAGCGGCCACGAGCGGGTGGTCGACTTGCTGCTTCAGCGCGGCGCGGAGATCAACCTGCAGAACAGCAGAGGCGGCACCGCGCTGATGAGCGCCACCTTCTTCAACCGCCCCGCCGTCGTGCGGCGCTTGCTGCGGGCGGGCGCAGACGTGGCGCCTACCTTTGACGGCAAGACGGCGCTTCAGTTTGCCCAGGGGGGGGGCCACGCCGAGTGTGTGCGCGCGTTCGAGGAGCACTCGTCGACCGCAGCAGAGGCGGAGGGGGAGGCGGCGGTCGCAGAATCAGCCGAGCAGGCGGCGGCCGCACGCGAGGTGGCAGCGGTTGCGGAGGCGGCGGAGGCGCGCAATGCTGCCGAGGCGGCGCTGCGTGAGGCGGTTGAGGCGTGCGAGCGAGGCGACGCCGATCTCGAGGCGCTCAGGGCGGCGATCAACGCGAACACCCAGGCCGCCGACGGCTCGGAGGCGCTGCGGGCGGCGCGGCGGCTGCGCGACGAGCTGGCGGAGCGAAAGACCCGCGAGGCCAGGGCGCTGAAGCGGCAGCGGCAGAAGGAGGAGAAGGCGGCGGCGAGGCAGGCGGCGGCGGCTGAGCGGGCAGCGGAGGAGGACGAGGCGCGGGCGGCGGACGAGGCGCGGGCGGCGGAGGAAGCGGATCGGGTGGTAGCAGAGGCTGCGGCGGCGCGGGCGGCGGAGGAGGCGGAGGCGGCGTCGCGGGCAAGGGAGGAGGCAGAGGCGCGGGCAAGGGAGGAGGCAGAGGCGCGGGCAAGGGAGGAGGCAGAGGCGAAGGCGAGGGAGGAGGCGGCAAGGGAGAGGGAGGAGGCGAGGGTGAGGGCGGAGGCGGAGGCGGCGGAGGTGGCGGCGGCGGAGGCAGCGGCGGAGGTGGCGGCCATAGAGGCGGCAGTGGCGGCCGTGGCGGCGGCGGAGGCTCAAGAGGCGGCGGCAGCGGCGGCAGCGGCGGCAGCGGCGGAAGCGAAAGCTTCGGCGAGTGTCGCCGCCCTCGCCGCCGCCGCCGCGCCGCCCGCCGCCGTCCCTCTCGACGAGCTCATTGCGGCGACCGACGGTTTTGCCGAGGCGCGCAAGGTGGGCGAGGGTGGCTTTGGGCGCGTCTACCGCGCCGACGCGCTGCTGTCGCTTCCTCGCGTCGCTTGCGGGTTCGCCGTCAAGACGGCGCTGGTTGGTGTCGGCGCCCAAGGCCTCGCCGAGCTGCAGAGCGAGGTGCGCACGCTCAGCGCGGCGTGCCACCGGTCCCTGCTCCCTCTCCTCGGCGTCTGCTTGGCGCCGGTGAGAGCGTGCCTCGTCTACCCCCTCTGCCGCGGCGGCAGCCTCGAGGACCGCATCTACCGCACTCCAGCCGCGCTGCAGCGGCTCCGCATGCTCGGCTTCGAGACGCCGCCTCCGCCGCTCTCCTCCGCCGCACGGCTCCGCGTGCTGCGCGACGCGGCGAGCGCGCTGCACTACCTGCACACGCTCTCTCCGATGATCCTGCACCGCGACGTCTCGGCGGGCAACATCCTGCTCGACGAGCGCGGCAACGGCTACCTCGCCGACGTGGGCCTCGCGCGCGCGGCAGAGGCGACGGCCGGCAGCAGCCAGCAGGTCTCGCACCTGTCGACGCAGCGTATCTTTGGGAAGCCCGGCTACATGGACCCGATCATCACGCAGGACAACCAAGCTTCGCAGCTGACCGACGGCTATGCGCTCGGCATCACGCTTCTCGTCGCCCTGACCGGCCGCGGCGCCGTCGGCTTGCTCAACGCGTGCGACGATGCATTGGAGGAGCCCGACACGGCGGAGAGCATCGCGGCTGCCGACGCGGGCTGGTCGGCGGCGCAGGCCGAGGAGCTGGCGCGGCTGGTGGTCGGGCTGGCTCTCGTGAGGAAGAAGAGGCGGATGCCGCTCGCAGACGCATTGCCGCGGCTGGAGGCGATCGTCGAAGCGGCGGGGGAGGTGGAGGAGACGGCTGGGGCCGAGGAGCGCCAGTGCGACCTCTGCTACGACGCGCCGCGCTCGGTCCGCTTTGCATGCGGCCACGCGCTGTATTGCGAGACATGTGCGCCGCGCGTGCTGGAGCGCGACACCAACTGCCCGACTTGCCGCCAGCCGGCGCTTCCCATCGCCGCAACTGGGCGGCTGGTGGCGGCGCAGGCGACGTTTGTCCACCAGCCGCCCTCGCGCACCGTGCCCCAGGCTCAGCCTGCAGGCGCCTCGGCGGCGGTCGGTGGGCGAGGCGGGCGAGGCGGACGCGGTGGGCGCGGCGGGCGCGGTGGGCGTGGGAGGCGTGGCGCTGGTGGCTCGTAGCTGGTTTACATAACAGTACCCCGATATTCGTTCGTCAACCCCCACATCGATGCGGTAACTGGTCTAGTCAGGGTTTGTGGAGAGTAAGGACCACGGAAAAGATTGATTCTCGCCCCTGTAACTATTGATATTGATTATTGACAGCATCCCCTCTAACTATTGACAATATATTGTTATTGACACATTGATCGCTGATTTGTCCCAAACATTGCCTAGAGATGGAGGGGCTGAAACTGAAAAAATCGCGAGTTCCCCAAGGCGATTCGTTTAATGCGGTTTAAGCGATTTCGAAGCGATTTTGGCCCGTTTTTAACGATTTAGAGCCACTTTCAAGCCCAGGTGCCAGGATGGATGGACCCCCATCGCTGGATATATTGATATGTAGTCCAACCTGACGGGTCCTGACCAGCCCAGGCCCAGCCTCTTCTCTAACTATTGCCATATATATGTTGATATTGATCGCCTCTCTAACTATTGGAGCGTTTCGTCCATTCGTCCATCTCGGAGGCGCAATTGTGAATAGTGTCACTAGGGAGTGGGGAGTGGGGAGTGGGGAGTGGGGGGCGCGGGTGAGTGATGAGCGGTGAGTGATGAGTGGTAACTAGAGCGCGTAAAATTCTTTTGTGGCAAGCTTTTGCAGTCGAGCGCAGGTGTGTATTCTTTTGAGAGCGCCTTCGTTGTTAATAGTACAAACCCAATGGTCCTCTGCGAGCGGTCCTTCGTTGCAGACGCACACACGCACACGCCACGCCGCACCGCGCGCCCGCCCACCGCCCCGCCCAGGCGGGAAAGAGGTGGGGAGATGGGACAGCGAAGGAGGAGCACGAGCACGTATGGGAGGGTTCAGTAATGCGCCACGCTGCCCGGCGTCTCTCACTTTCCGGGACAGCCCCGCCCTATTCTTTTTGCTTGGGGCGGCCAGCATGCCGGGTAGGTAGGGTAGGTCTGGGCGCTCCCGTCGGGTTTTCCCCTCTCTTCACGCCGGAATTTTCAAAAAAGAAATTTTCGGCGAAAATCACGACGTCAACCCTCCCCAAGTGGGTGATCTGGTGCTTGTAGGGCTTGATAGTGGCCTGCCATGTCACAGGAAGGACTGTGGTTGCAGGAGAGTACCACCAGCCATCACTTTAGTTGGTATAGTGATCTGTGATCTGTGAGGGTCCGCCCGCAGGCGCGTTTTGTATACCGAGGCGGTGCCCGGTGCCGAGCGCAGGCCGGAGCCCACAGGTCGGACCTTAAGACAGCATTGTAGATCCCTGGGCGAGGGTGATGGAGAGGGCGGTCTGTCGGCGCGCTAAACCGTAACCCGCCGGGGCGGGCCGGATCCACGCGCTGTCGGACCGCCCTGTCGGAGGTAGACCGCTCGTCTAGCCAATCAGCCTTAAGCGAGCGGTCTGGCCGTTGGAATGGCCGAGTTTGGTGGACTTGCGTCCTCGCATCGATCGTGGTTACAAGTAAGTAGCGTTATGAACAGAACACCCACCATGAACCCCGTTCATCGGGAAGGGGGAGGTCTGTGACCTGCCTATTCGCCCGGCATGTGGGGGCATGCGCGGCCTTTCGGAGCCCCCTTCCTCTGTCGGCTTAGTACGGTTGGTCAGCGCGTCTCCGTCTGAAATTATCTCTAGGCTTCCGTGGGGCGGGCCCTCCTTTCGTTGGCGCTCCCGCTTCCTCTGCGCTTTCGTCATCTGCTCCTCGCCCTCGTCATGCTGCTGGCTCGCCCCCTCTCCCTGACTCATCGAATCGCTCCGTTCGTTGGTATAGAGCTCTAGTACCCCACCTTCACCCATCACCGATCCCGTGATTTCTTTTTTAGTTTCCCATAAGTAGGGTAGGTAGGTAGGGTAGGTAGTGCTCCCACGTTGCTTGACTATGTCAAGGAACGCCGTTTACAAGGCCGTTTAGGGGTTAACAACGGACGGCGCTCTCAAAAAAATCCCAGCTCCAAGGGAGTCGCTCTCGCTAACGAAGCATACGCGACGCTACTTCGACAGAGAGCCTCGCCCCCAGACCGGGCAGGCCGTGTTGATCGGCTCCATTTCGCAGCTCGTCTTGACCTCGCTATCGTCGTTGAGCCATGTGTGCAGGCAGCGGTAGTGGAAGGGGCTCTTGCAGCAGCGCGTGGCGCCCCAGCTGTTCAGGTCGCGGCACTGCAGACGCGCCTCCGGGTGCGAGCTGAGGTCGTCGAAGCAAATGACGCACTGAGGGGCCTGCTCAGCTGCAGCTGCAGCCACGGACACGCCCGCAACTGCGGCAGCCGCCTCCACCTCAATCTCCGACCTCACCCCCCGCCTGCTGGATTGCCTCTGTGCCAGCAGCAGTAGAAGGCGCAGGCGGTGGCGGCGGTGGAGGCAGTGCAGCGTGGTCGCTGGTGTCCCTGCCCGCCTCCCTGCGGGCGAAGAAGAGCGCCGCCTCCTCGGCGGTGGCAAAGCAGCCGAGGAAGGCCATCTTGTCTCCCACCCTCACCTTCAGCTCGTACTTCTTGCTGCCTCGCTCCTTCGGGCGGTAGCAGACGCCTTTGTAGCCAGTGCTGTTGCTGCTGGCGGTGAGGGTGAGGCCCTCCCTCGCCGCCTGTCGTATCGCCTCAGCGCCAGCCGCAGTGGGAGCCGCGCGAGGCTGCAGCAGCTTGGCGGCGTCGGCGCGGCCGTACTCTGAGCGAGCGTAGGCGGTAGCCGCCTCTTTGGCGGTGCCAAAGTAGCCGAGGTGGACAAACTTGCTGCCAGTCTGCACCCTCGCCTGGAACTTGTTTTTGCCACTGTGGTAGGACACGCACTTGTAGCCGGTCGTGTTGTTCTTGGAGATGGCTGGGATCAGCACGTGCTCGCCGAGCAATGTGTAGCTGCGCCGTGAGGACTCGGCTGGGGCGTCGGACGAGGCGGCTTGCATCCGATAGGATTTGTCAGCAGCTCCTGGGTTCCAACTTTTTCCGGGGTAATGGGGCGCGCATGTCAGCGAGGAAGTTGCGGGGAGAGCCATGTCCATCCCGTCTTTCCACAGCGGTGTTGTTCACAGCCTTGTTATTGAGAGAAGCGCCCCTTGCGGAGCGGTTTTAGGTATATTGAGCGGTGAGTGACGTTAGGTAAAATTCTTTTTTGACAAGACTCACACTTTCCCGCTGTTTCTTCGCCGCCGGCTCCCCGCTTCTGGGGAGAGATGGGAGAGAAGACGCTTCTTTATTATTTGGCCGTCCTCGCCTTTGCCGCGTGCGGCCTCGCCGTGCTCGTCGCCGCCGCGTGGCGGCTCCTCGCCGCCGCGTGGGGCCGGCGGTGGCAGCTCTGCGAGTGCATCCTCGGCGCGAGCGACTGCTACCTCCTCCCCGACTCGTATTGCGCCGCCGCGATCGGCTCTGTATTGGTCGCTGACGAGGACGTGTACGAGGGCGAGCTGAGCAGCGACGACGACGACGCCGCTCACGGCCACAGCCACGCGCACAGCCACGGGCCGCGAGAGGTGGTGGTCGTCGAGCAGAGGTGGGCGGTCGTGGCCGGCGCCTGCGGCGACCCGGGGAGGGCGATGGTGCGGGCGCTGGCCGACCAGGGCTTCAGCCTCCTGCTGGCCGACCCCAGCGCCGACCGCCTCGCCGCGATCGCCCTGCACACGCAGCGGCGGCTCGAGCGCGGCTGGAGAGGCGGCGTCTGGGCAAAGACTCGCGAGATGCCGTCCTGCGTGCGGGTGCGCTGCACGGGCGAGCTATCGGACGTGCGGGCCGTCGAGGAGGCTGCGGCGGCGCTGCCGGCCGGCGCCCTCCGCCTGCTAGTCCTCGCCTCGGCCGGCCCTCGGCCAGAGGTGCCGCCGGCGCAGGCGGCGGAGGACTCGCGGATCTTACTTGGGCCGCTGTGGAGCGCAAAGCTGGCGCGCGCCCTGTGGCCGCGGCTCGCCGAGGGCTGCGCCGGCGGCCGCCGCGCCGGCCTCCTCTTCCTCGCCGAGTCGGACGAGTGCGGGCCGCCGGCCGCCACGCCGCTTGCGGCGGTGCACGCGGCGACTCTGGCGGCGCTCGCGTCGACGCTGCGGGCCGAGGCGCGGGGCCTCGGCTTGCCGCTCGACGTGCTGGCTTTGCCGGCGGACGCGACTCGCGAGGGGGCTGACTTGGCGCGGGCGGCGCTGCTGCTGTTGCCGACGGCGCAGCACGCGGCGATGGTCCCGCTGCTATCCGACGCGCTGTGGGAGGCCGCTGTCCCGCAGCTTTGGCGCCGCACCGCCGCCCGCATGGCGGCTTGCTCGTCCACCACAACAAGGCGCACAGCCGAGCAGCCCGGCACCAACAAGACGGAGTGACGGCACGTCAGCAGCTGCCTTCCCTTGCACAGAGCTTGCAGCTTTCATGAAGTTACTTTCACGACGAGGCCACACTAGTCACTACAACCTTGACGGTGTATGTATCACTCTCCCGAGGAGCAGAATCCTGAGAGACTAGAAAGAAAAAGCAAAAACTTACAGATATCTCGTGGGTCGCGTTCCCTTGGTAGCTGTGTGGCGGGGGCTGCCGAAGCCCTCGTAACACGTAAGGCTATAAGGGAACGCGACCCACACAAAGCACCAAAGTTAGGCATACCCCCCGGCGCAGTGTCCCCCGCTATGTGTCGCCGTTCGTCGGGGCACGCAATCCTGTGCAGTCAGGGCAAGTGGGGGCGGGGTGGAGTGCCCAGAGTCTATACCCTGCTCCCTGGGACCTCTCCGCCCAGTCCGGGGGTGCGTCGAACCTTCCACATCACCCTGTCGGAAGCGGCGTGCCGGTGGAGGCACGTCCGGGTTTTGGAAGTAAAGATATATTACTTTTTACAGATATCTCGTGGAGACGGTATAGAGACACGGACGGCGCGGTCCACGGCGCGCACCACGGGCGAGCGCGAAGATGACTCTGTCGTGTGTCGCTCAAGCTCTCCCGAGACCCGCGCCCTCAGGACAGCCCCGGGCAAAGCCGCTCGCGCAGCCCCCCCCGCCCCGCCCCCCCCACAATAAGACCCGGAGACCAGCCCCACTATCGAAACCGCGAGGTCCGTCGCACGGCGGGAGAGCATCACGCGGCGCGCGCGCCGGCGCTCGCTCGCGCCGCGGTGTTTGCCAGCGAAGGCGAGGCACTGAGCGGCCACCGGCCGAGAGCGCCCGCGCGGGCCACTATGCATCCGCCGTTCCACGAAGCACGCGGGAGGGGGGAGGGGCAGAGCGAGGATGGAGCAAGGTTGCGAGTCTCACTAAAACGGCGTCCGCTCACATCAGCACGCACTTGTCCTTGCGCCGTGTCGGCTTGTACTCCAGCACATACTTGAGCTGCACCTTGTTAATCGCGCCGCGCCGTCTCTTCCTGATGAAATCGACGGCGTCGCCTGCATCCACCCCCGCCTGCCGCGCGTGGGGGCGCTCGCGGTTGGAGGAGGCCCGGTCGCGAGGGACGGGCGCGCGGGCGGAGGGAGGAGGGCGACAACGGCAGCGGCGGTGCGCGGGAGGGAGGCGCGCTGGCGGCGGCTGGAGGCGGGCGCAGCGTGAGAGGCGGCGCCTCGATAAGCGCAATCGCAACCAGCAGCGGCGCGCGCCTGCAGCGCAACAAGCAGCAGGGTGCGAGGTCGGAGGGGGGGCGGGAGCGGGGCGCGAAATCGCGGGGCGAAGGGCGCGCCCGAGCCCTGCCACGCAGTGCACAGCAACGGTCGCCTCGTCCGCAAAGCACAGGTCCAGCCAGCGCGAGATGAGCGGTAGCGGCGGCGCCTCCCCGTCGGGGAAGCTGAGGTCGTGCTCGCTGATGCCCGCGCCAGCCACCTTGGCCGGGTCGTACGAGCACCCCTCGCAGCAGCGCACCCACGTGCCGACGCCGAGCCGGCGTGCCTCCTCGAGATAGAGAGAGAGGTTCGCATCTGTCGGCGCGTCCATGATGAGGAAGCGGCCACACTGGTGGTCGATGAACGTTGGCGGATTCTGCAGCCTTGAAGCAAGGCGCGCCATCGCTGCTCGTGATCGCGAGCGCCGCCGTGCGCATGCAGCGCGCCGCGCAGCGCGACGTAAAAGGGGAGCGCGGCCCTTTGGATGCGGAGCCCACCTTCTTCTTCACAGCCTTGTTATTGAGAAGAAAATACTTTCAGGCGGTCCCGGCTGTTTTTTTCCCAAAAACTCAGTCCCGGCTGTGTATGGCGATCCAAGGACGAACCAGTGGAAATCCCGTTGTCAGCCGTCACGATGCACCCGAAGGGGACCCCAGCGCCGGCCCTCGGCATCATCAGTGAAGGCACAAGTGTTCGAAGAGAGAGAGAGTGGACCTGAGCAGAAGAAGAAGCGACAAGGGAAAGAACGACGAGAGTGGGACGACCGCGAGGTGGCATGAAGGTTGCAGCGAGAATCGGCGAGAGACTGCGAAGAGAGATAGGAAGAGGCGGACGCCCAAGGGTGGGCGACGGCTAGCGCACCACACCCCTCTCCTTAAAATCCCTGTGTGGTGGCGGCGTGCCGTCCTCCCATCCCTCCCTTGGGTTGTCCGTTTTCTTTCTTTCTTTCTGGCGATCCGCCTCCACTTGAGCACTTGAGCACTGGATAGGGTCGATTCCGCATGGTACGGGACCCCTCCACTCTTTGTTGCTCGCTCGCCCGGGCGGAGGGCATTCTCGATGTGCTGAATCAGGCTGTTGCGCCCGCCCACCGTGGGGAAGTACCCTGTGCAAAGAATTTTGTGCAAAGAAAGAAAGAAAGAAAACAGACAACCCAAGGGAGGGATGGGAGGACGGCACGCCGCCACCACACAGGGATTTTAGGGGAGAAGTGTGGGGTGCTAGCCGTCGCCCACCCCCTCGGGCGTCTACCTCTTTCTAGCTTCGCAGTTTCTCACGTGCCCAGTCCTGTGCCCAGTGTTGTGCGAGGGAGTTTTGTTGTAAAATTCTCACCAATTCTCCAACCTTCATGCCACCTCGCGTTCTTCCCACTCTCGTCGTTCTCTCTCCTGCTGTCTCTTCCCCTGACTCATCGCTCTCCACGGCCTCGCGTTCTGAGACGCCGCTGTCGTCTGCCGATCTCTTGCTGTCTCTGCTTCTCTCGCCTTTCTGCGTAACTCCGCTCTCCTCTCCGCTGTCACTTGTAGTGAGCGTCGGGCTGGTGGTTCGACACCGAGTTTGAAAGATCTTTGCGTATTTTGGTCCCTCGAGTTTATCGAGCATTCCTCGCGCAAGGACCACATTTCTCACTCCCACCGCGATCATATCCCGCCATGTCATGTCGTTGCTCAGGTCCACTCTCGTTTCGAGCACTTGTGCCTCAACGGTCGGTGTTGGCACTGGGGTTCCCTTCGGGTATATCGTGACAGCTGACGGCGGGATTTCCGCTGGTGTTTCGTCCTCCTCGGGGTCGTCTTCCCCGGCTTCCTTCCGCTCGGCTCTACGTTCGGTACGTTCGGCGTGGCTCACCCTCCATGCCGTGAACAGGCGCTTTATCCACTCTATATTCTTCTCTCGTTCCTCTGCCCGTGCCTTGGTCTTGTCGTTGTTTCGCACCCATGTCTGTATGGCAATCGAGGCTGCCTTCCCTGTAGTTCACTCGTCACCTCTCCCGCGAGCTCCCCTCTCTTTCTTTCGGGTATGGGGTCCGTGAGTGCGGGCAACGCAGCCCGTACCAACTGGCCCAAAAAAGTTTCTTTCACCGGCGAATAAATAAATAAATAAAACGGACACACCAAACAAGGGGTGGGAGAAGGACAGGGTCCCCACCTGCGCGAGCATGTGCGAGAGAGCACTTGGAGCACTTGGAGTGCAGTCGGTAACCTCACATCCAGGGCCGAGGAGCTAAGAAGCGCACCCAGCGGGCCGAATGATCGGCATCGGGTTACGGGCAAGAGAGCCCTAGCCCTGGGGGTGCGCGTTCGCAGGGAAGGGGCCGTAAAGTAAACACGGGTCTCCGAGGGTTAGTTCCGTGTACCGGGTTTCCCCTTAACTGCAGAACGCCCCCTCTATTCGGAGCTAACAGACACACAACACTGTACTCCACGCACGTACACGGATACGCCTCATGTGCGCCCACCCGGCTCCGGTCCCAGAGTCCCTTCCTTCGCCCGTCGGGGCAAGCCCTCGTCTCGTCCCGGTCCCTTGCTCGCCTTCCGGGCGTTACCAGACTGCCTCTGCAGTCGTTTCTGATGCCTCTTCCTCGGCTGTGGCCTCGACTCCGCTTCGCCTTCGACTGGTACCGCAGCCTCCGAGAGCGTCGACGACCCGGCCGGGGTCTCCCCGGGCGAGGACGGCGGCATTGGGTCGTGTCGCCTCCCCTCCCAGGGAGGACGGGCCCACTCTCCCTGGTCGACGGGTCGCGCCCGCACCCGCGGTCTCTCTATCGTCCTCGGCTCGCCCCTCCCCTCCGCCGGCTCCTCTTCAGGCCGTCGGGGAGGCGTGGCCGGGCACGGGACTGGCGCGCACTGGCACTAACACTTTCTCTTTCACAGGTAAGGCAAGGCTAAGGTATAAGGTAAGGTCTCCACACACACAAAGTCGAAAGTGGTGGGGCAAGGGGGGGCAACCCTCGCATCTCCACGCGCCCGGACACGCGGGCAGGAGCCCCACGGCATTCCCCGGCATTCAGCAAGGCCCAGTGCACGTGGTTGAGCAGACCTGCTCCCGCACCCCACTGGCTCCCTCCCAGACACAACCCGCACACAATAACTCCCCGCCCGCGCCGCGCTGAATGAGGCAGCGCTCGTGCCGCACAAGAAATGTTGAGTCTCAGCGGCCGTGGCCTCTCAGCAGGAGCAGCTCTCTACGAGCGCTCCTGGGCCGCATCCGCCGCCATCCTGGCTGCAACCGCCCTGGCGATCGAAGCGGCCGCAGCGGCACCCCTTGCCTCCGCAGCGGCCGCCGCCTCCTCGAGCGCTGTCTCGCTCCCTTCGAACGCCAAATCGACCCTGTGCGACGCCGCCTTGGCCTCCTCCAACGCCGCCTCGGCCTCCTCCAACGCTGCCCTGGCGTCCGCCTGTGCCGCCCTGGCCTCCGCCCTCGCCACCTCGGCAGCCGCCAGCGCCGCCACGGCAGCCACCTCCTCCGCCTTGTCCGCCTCCGCCTCCTCTTCCGCCTCGTCCGCCGCAGCGTCCAAGCGCACCGCCTCGGCCACCTCTGCCGACGCCGCTGCCTGGCTCTCCGCCGTGATGCCGAACCGGATCCTCTCCTCGTGACACTTCTCGAGAAGCCTGATCATCCTCTCCTCCTCGGCCTTCTTCGCAGCCTCGGCTGCCTCCAACGGCGCCTCGGCGCCCTCCTCCGTCTCCTGCGACGGCCCAGCCGCGCCCGCCCCTCCGCCCTTCTTCTTCTTCTTGCCCTTCTTGCCCTTGGCGCGCTTCTTCTCCGCCTCGACCTCCGCCAACAGCTCGTCGGCGTGCCGCGCCGCCTCCTTCTCCGCCGCCGCCCGCTCCGCCGCCCTCGCCGCCGCCCCAGCAGCCCGCGCCGCCTCCTTCGCCGCCTTCTCGGCCGCCGCCTCGGCCGCCGCGTGCTCCTCGAGGGCGCGCATGCACTCGGCGTGGCCCTTCTCCTTGGCCCATTGCAGCGCGGTGCCGCCCATCTTGCCATCCGTAGTGCACAGCGTCGTGTCTGCGCCCGCCCTCAGCAGCTGACGCACGACGGTGGGGTAGCCGAAGGCGGCGGCGAGAATCAGCGCGGTGTCGCCGTCATTGTCCTGATGGTCGATCTTCGCGCCGAGCCGGATCAGCGTGTCGACCACCCGCTCGTAGCCTTCATCGGCGGCCAGCATCAGCGCTGTGCTGCCACTTTTGTTTCCCTGATCGATCTCCGCGCCGTGCCGCAATGCCAGCTCGACCAGCTTCTCGTGGCCGTTCACGGCGGCGAGAATCAGCGCGGTGGTGCCCCTGCTGTTCTCCAACGAGACATCTGCACCGCCCCGCAGAAGCGCCTCGGCCAGCTCCGCGTGGCCATGGGCCATTGCGAGCATCAGCAGCGTCATGCCGCTCGCACGACGAGAGCCGATACCAAAGGTGTGCTCGAACGTCTCGTCCACCCACCCGCCGCCGTCGAGCCACGCCAGCACCGCCGCCTCTTCGCCTCGCCGCGCCGCTAGCACGACCTCCTCAGGCACCGTCGCGCTGCTCGGTGCGGCTTCCGTTCCACCCTCGCCGCTCGAAGCAGAGTACGCAGCACTAGCGCCCGCCTCCGCCTCGCCTGCGGGTGCGCCGCCCGCCCCTGCGCCTGCGCCGCCCGCCTCGGCCGACGGCGCCTTGCTCCGGCCAGTCACCTCCCCGAGATACGTCCTGAAGGCCTCGTAGCACTCGGCGTGGCCCTCCTCCTTGGCAATCTGCAGCGCTGTCTCACCGTCCGTATTGCGCAGCTTCATGTCTGCGCCCGCCCGCAGCAAGCGAAGCATCACGGCGGGATGGCCGTTGTCAGCGGCGAACATCAGCGCGGTGTCGCCCTTGTTGTCCTGCATGTCGATCTCCGCGCCGTGCCGGACCAGCGTGTCGACAATCCGCTCGTGGCCTTGGTAGACGGCGGTCATCAGCGCAGTGCAGCCAACCTTGTTTCCCTGATCGATCTCCGCGCCGTGCCGCAATGCCAGCTCGACCAGCTTCTCGCGGCCGTTCGCGGCGGCGAGGCTCAGCGCGGTGCCACCGTTGCTGTGCTGCAACGAGACATCCGCGCCGCGCCGCAGAAGCGCCTCGGCCAGCTCCGCGTGGCCATTGGCCACTGCGACCATCAGCAGCGTCATGCCGCTCTCACGAGAGCCGTCACAAAACGTGTACTCGAACGTCTCGTCCACCCACCCGCCGCCGTCGAGCCACGCCAGCACCGCTCCCGCTTGGCCATCCGTGGCGGCGTTCCGAATGCTTGCAGGGACGTCGCCGCCGCGCTCCGCGGACAGCGAAGGCGGCGCGGCGCTGGCGCGGGCGGGCGAGGCGGACATTGGAAACGTATGTATGGGATCGAAGGCGAAACACAGTCAGTCCAACGGCGCCAAAAGAAAGAATGACGCCCCGGCACCCCACTCCCTCCCTCCGACACAATTTGCACACAATGATCCCCCGCCCGCGCCGCGCGCAAGAGATCATGCAAGAAATGTTGAGTCTCAGCAGCCGTGGCCTCTCAGCATGGAGCAGCTCTCTATGAGCGCTCCTGGGCCGCATCCGCCGCCATCCTGGCTGCAACCGCCCTGGCGATCGAAGCGGCCGCAGCGGCACCCCTTGCCTCCGCAGCGGCCGCCGCCTCCTCGAGCGCTGTCTCGCTCCCTTCGAACGCCAAATCGACCCTGTGCGACGCCGCCTTGGCCTCCTCCAACGCCGCCTCGGCCTCCTCCAACGCTGCCCTGGCGTCCGCCTGTGCCGCCCTGGCCTCCGCCCTCGCCACCTCGGCAGCCGCCAGCGCCGCCACGGCAGCCACCTCCTCCGCCTTGTCCGCCTCCGCCTCCTCTTCCGCCTCGTCCGCCGCAGCGTCCAAGCGCACCGCCTCGGCCACCTCTGCCGACGCCGCTGCCTGGCTCTCCGCCGTGATGCCGAACCGGATCCTCTCCTCGTGACACTTCTCGAGAAGCCTGATCATCCTCTCCTCCTCGGCCTTCTTCGCAGCCTCGGCTGCCTCCAACGGCGCCTCGGCGCCCTCCTCCGTCTCCTGCGACGGCCCAGCCGCGCCCGCCCCTCCGCCCTTCTTCTTCTTCTTGCCCTTCTTGCCCTTGGCGCGCTTCTTCTCCGCCTCGACCTCCGCCAACAGCTCGTCGGCGTGCCGCGCCGCCTCCTTCTCCGCCGCCGCCCGCTCCGCCGCCCTCGCCGCCGCCCCAGCAGCCCGCGCCGCCTCCTTCGCCGCCTTCTCGGCCGCCGCCTCGGCCGCCGCGTGCTCCTCGAGGGCGCGCATGCACTCGGCGTGGCCCTTCTCCTTGGCCCATTGCAGCGCGGTGCCGCCCATCTTGCCATCCGTAGTGCACAGCGTCGTGTCTGCGCCCGCCCTCAGCAGCTGACGCACGACGGTGGGGTAGCCGAAGGCGGCGGCGAGAATCAGCGCGGTGTCGCCGTCATTGTCCTGATGGTCGATCTTCGCGCCGAGCCGGATCAGCGTGTCGACCACCCGCTCGTAGCCTTCATCGGCGGCCAGCATCAGCGCTGTGCTGCCACTTTTGTTTCCCTGATCGATCTCCGCGCCGTGCCGCAATGCCAGCTCGACCAGCTTCTCGTGGCCGTTCACGGCGGCGAGAATCAGCGCGGTGGTGCCCCTGCTGTTCTCCAACGAGACATCTGCACCGCCCCGCAGAAGCGCCTCGGCCAGCTCCGCGTGGCCATGGGCCATTGCGAGCATCAGCAGCGTCATGCCGCTCGCACGACGAGAGCCGATACCAAAGGTGTGCTCGAACGTCTCGTCCACCCACCCGCCGCCGTCGAGCCACGCCAGCACCGCCGCCTCTTCGCCTCGCCGCGCCGCTAGCACGACCTCCTCAGGCACCGTCGCGCTGCTCGGTGCGGCTTCCGCTCCACCCTCGCCGCTCGAAGCAGAGTACGCAGCACTAGCGCCCGCCTCCGCCTCGCCTGCGGGTGCGCCGCCCGCCCCTGCGCCTGCGCCGCCCGCCTCGGCCGACGGCGCCTTGCTCCGGCCAGTCACCTCCCCGAGATACGTCCTGAAGGCCTCGTAGCACTCGGCGTGGCCCTCCTCCTTGGCAATCTGCAGCGCTGTCTCACCGTCCGTATTGCGCAGCTTCATGTCTGCGCCCGCCCGCAGCAAGCGAAGCATCACGGCGGGATGGCCGTTGTCAGCGGCGAACATCAGCGCGGTGTCGCCCTTGTTGTCCTGCATGTCGATCTCCGCGCCGTGCCGGACCAGCGTGTCGACAATCCGCTCGTGGCCTTGGTAGACGGCGGTCATCAGCGCAGTGCAGCCAACCTTGTTTCCCTGATCGATCTCCGCGCCGTGCCGCAATGCCAGCTCGACCAGCTTCTCGCGGCCGTTCGCGGCGGCGAGGCTCAGCGCGGTGCCACCGTTGCTGTGCTGCAACGAGACATCCGCGCCGCGCCGCAGAAGCGCCTCGGCCAGCTCCGCGTGGCCATTGGCCACTGCGACCATCAGCAGCGTCATGCCGCTCTCACGAGAGCCGTCACAAAACGTGTACTCGAACGTCTCGTCCACCCACCCGCCGCCGTCGAGCCACGCCAGCACCGCTCCCGCTTGGCCATCCGTGGCGGCGTTCCGAATGCTTGCAGGGACGTCGCCGCCGCGCTCCGCGGACAGCGAAGGCGGCGCGGCGCTGGCGCGGGCGGGCGAGGCGGACATTGGAAACGTATGTATGGGATCGAAGGCGAAACACAGTCAGTCCAACGGCGCCAAAAGAAAGAAAAAAACGCCCCGGCACCCCACTCCCTCCCTCCGACACCATCCCTCCCTTGGGGGACCCTGTTTTCTTTCTTTCTTTCCTCCCTCCGACACAATTTGCACACAATGATCCCCCGCCCGCGCCGCGCGCAAGAGATCATGCAAGAAATGTTGAGTCTCAGCAGCCGTGGCCTCTCAGCATGGAGCAGCTCTCTATGAGCGCTCCTGGGCCGCATCCGCCGCCATCCTGGCTGCAACCGCCCTGGCCATCGACGCGGCCGCAGCGGCACCCCTCGCCTCCGCAGCAGCCGCCGCCTCCTCGAGCGCTGTCTCGCTCCCCTCCAACGCCGACCCGGTCCCGCTCAGTGCCGCCGCCGCCGCCTCTAGCGACGCCTTGATTTTCTCAAACGCAGCCCTGGCCTCTCCATGCGCCGCCCTGGCCTCCGCATGCGCCGCCCTGGCCTCCGCCCTCGCCACCTCGGCAGCCGCCAGCGCCGCCACGGCAGCCACCTCCTCCGCCTTGTCCGCCTCCGCCTCCTCTTCCGCCTCGTCCGCCGCAGCGTCCAAGCGCACCGCCTCGGCCACCTCTGCCGACGCCGCTGCCTGGCTCTCCGCCGTGATGCCGAACCGGATCCTCTCCTCGTGACACTTCTCGAGAAGCCTGATCATCCTCTCCTCCTCGGCCTTCTTCGCAGCCTCGGCTGCCTCCAACGGCGCCTCATCACCCTCCGCCGCCGCCATCGTCTCCTGCGACGGCCCAGCCCCGCCCGCCCCTCCGCCCTTCTTCTTCTTCTTGCCCTTCTTGCCCTTGGCGCGCTTCTCCGCCTCGACCTCCGCCAGCAGCTCGTCGGCGTGCCGCGCCGCCTCCTTCTCCGCCGCCGCCCTCTCCGCCTCCCTCTCCGCCGCCCCCGCAGCCCACGCCGCCTCCTTCGCCGCCGCCTCACCCGCCGCCTTGGCCGCCGCATGCTCCTCGAGGGCGCGCACGCACTCGGCGTGGCCCTCCTCCTTGGCAATCTGCAGCGCCGTCCTGCCGCCTCTAGACCGCAGCGTCATGTCAGCGCCCGCCCGCAGCACGCGAAGCACCACGGCGGGATGGTTGTGGAGGGCGGCAAGCATCAGCGCGGTGCCGCCGTTGCTGGCCTGCAGGTTGATCTCTGCGCCATGCCGGATCAGCGTGTCGACAACCCGCTCGTGGCCTCTGTAGGCGGCGTCCATCAGCGCAGTGTCGCCGTCGCTGTACTTCTGATCGATCTCCGCGCCGTGCTGCAATGCCAGCTCGACCAGGTTCTCGTGGCCGTTCGTGGCAGCGAGAATCAGCGCAGTGCTGCCGTCGTTGTTCTGCAACGAGACATCTGCACCGCGCCGCAGAAGCGCCTCGGCCAGCTCCTCGTGGCCATTGGACATTGCGATCATCAGCAGCGTCATTTCGCTCTCACGAGAGCCGTCATCAAAGGTGTACTCGAACGTCTCGTCCACCCACCCGCCGCCGTCGAACCACGCCAGCACCGCTCCCGCTTGGCCATCCTTGGCGGCCTTCCGAATGCTTGCAGGGACGTCGCCGCCGCGCTCCGCCGACGGAGGAGGCGGCGTGCGGCGCGCGGCGCTGGCGCGGGCGGGCGAGGCGGACATTGTCACCGTGTACAGCTCTACCCGTCAGCCCAGCCAGCACCGAGGGTTTTACCGTCGGGTACTTATTTTAAGAGCAGGTAAACAGCAATAGATCCGGCCCTCAAGCGGCCTAATCGATACCCAGCCCTCACGGAATCGGTCCCTTGTTGTACAGCAATCGATCCTTCACAGTGCCCGTCCTGCCAACTTGCCGAGAATCGGTCCCCCAGGTCACCTGTGGCGCGAAGCTGATGTCTCCCGCCCTCGGCGCGCCCAACGCGCAGCGGCGGCAGACCACCCCCTCCGGTTCGAGGGGCGCCTGGAGCTGAGCGGGCTGCCTCCGCCAGAGTTTGGCTCGCCCACCGGCGGGCTGTCACCCTGCCACGGGTCGCAAGCCCTCTGCCGGCCGGAGCGCAGGCTGCGCGGGCTTCCAGCAATTGGTCCCTTGGCAAGCGCGAATCGGTCCCCCTGGCTCCAGGAACTGATCCGGCACTACACCCGGATCTATTGCTGTTTACCTGCTCTTAAAATAAGTACCCGACGGTACCAAGCTGCCAACCCTATTCACGCACTGTGCGCAAAAGACCACACCAACCAACCAACTGTTTCCGGGCCCGAGTGCGCGAAGTGCGGGACCAGCCAACCAGCCTCCTGGGCCGGCCAGGGTCCTGCCAGGGTCGCCCACGGGTCAAAAATTTCTTCGCTCCGCGTATTCAACACGTAGGACATCAAAATGGGTCAAAATGGGCTATTTCACGCCTCTTCAGGCTCCCAGATCCATCTTCTCACCACTGTCCATCCTGAAATTGCGTCACGAGGGTCACAGTGGCCTGTTAGACGCGCTGGGGTGCCAGGGGAAGGAGCCGTTACGACCGTTACGGCGTGGCCGACCGTTACGCGAGTGCGCGAAGTGCGGGACCAACCAACCAACATCTGGAGGCCTGGAGTGCGCAGAGTGGGGACCACCCAACCAACCCAGGGCCCGGAGTGGGTGAATAGGGTTGGCAGCTTGGTAAAACCCTGGGGTGCAGGTGTACTGTGCTGCATGAATGGTTGGGCAAGTGTGAACAGCAGCTCGTGGCCACGGCGCCGCAGGCCCTGTTGATGGGTCCAGGTGATAGCCCTGGATAGGCAATGCATACGCCTAGTTGGGCCTCAGATCGCCCGACCGCTTCCCGGTGCTCTGTGGTCGGATTTGTGACGCCGCCGCACCGCGCCGCGGCCGGGGGCCCTCTGGAGGCCGAGGATGGCCGTGGCGGACCGGGACGAGCTCTGGGAGGTTCAGTGTCAGTGTATACATTGTAGAGACTGGCCATGTGCACAATATCTCTCAGTCTAGCTAAGCCAGGGGAGGCGATTCCGGGGCCGTACAGCAGCTTGATGGTGCTTCGCCGGCGTGCGTCCCGGAGCGGTCCCGGTTGGGCGGTCCGGGGGAGAAAACTCAGGACAACGCCGACACCGCTCTGATTCGACTTTTTACTTCAAACAAAGACAGTGGCACGCGCCGCGGCGCGGTGCATGCCACTGTCAGGAGCGGATCCGTCAGTTAGTTGTATTCACGCCGGGATCGTGTCCTGAGTAACTTGCCCAACCATTCCTCCAGCAGAGTACGGCCCTTTATAGGGGCCTAGAGAACACAACCGCCTCTCTCTTTTCAGTGTATGTAGCTCTTAAGAACATACCGTAGGTGAACTGCTGACAGGGTTTGCGATGAGGAGCGATCCATATTTGGCTTAGGAAATTGTCTCAGGAAATGGTCTCAGGATATTTGGCTTAGGATATTGTCTCAGGATTGGTCTCAGGAATTTGTCTCAGGATATTTGGCTTAGGATATTCCCTCAGGATAATTGGCTTAGGATATTTGGCTTAGGAAATTATCTCAGGATATTTGGCTTAGGATATTTGGCTTAGAATATGGTCTCAGGATATTTGGCTCAGGATATTTGGCTTAGGATATTCCCTCAGATATTTGACTTAGGATATGGTCTCAGGATATTTGGCTTAGGATATGGTCTAAGGATATTTGGCTCAGGAAATTGGCTTAGGAAATTTTCTCAGGATATTTTCTCAGGATTGGTCTCAGGACATAATCTCAGGATATTTGGCTTAGGATATTTGGCTGACGGTCCAGGCCACCCTCAGGGATGCCTAGATCTGAGGGCAGAAGAGAGAAGATTGAGTGCACACTAAGCCAGAGTTTTGTTCCTTCGGTGGAGCCCGCGGGTGGAGCCCGCGGGGCGCACCACGCCCCAGTAATGGTTGCCTCCGCTTGGGACTTTTGGCGCAGCATTGGCAGCCCGCGGCACGTCTGCGCGCCGATGGTCGACCAGTCCGAGGCCGCGTTCCGCGTCCTCACCCGCTCACTCGGCGTGCAACTCGCCTACACACCCATGCTTCACGCGCGGCTGATGGTGGAGGCGCCGGCCTACCGTGCGCACACCTTCGATCCCGAGCCGGACGGGGTCGACCGGCCACTGGTGGCACAGCTCGCAGGGCACGACGCGTCGGTTCTCCTCGCCGCGGGCCGGCTCGTGCAGTCGCACGTCGACGCGGTGGACATCAACTTTGGGTGCCCGCAGGGGATCGCTCGGAAGGGGCGGTACGGAGCCTTCCTCCTCGACGAGCCCGAGCTGGCCGTCTCGCTCGTCCGCGCCCTCGCCGAGGGGCTCGACGTGCCGGTCACCGCAAAGGTGAGATCGTCCGAGATTGTCCGAGAGATTGTCCGAGATTGTCCGCAAAGGGAGGTCACCGCAGAGGTTGTGGCTGCTCCCGTCGGCGGCGAGCGCTGCGAGGGAACAGTGTCACACACCTCCGGCGCGAACAGGTGCGGCTGCTCCCGTCGGTGGACGCGAGCGTCGCTCTCTGCCGCCGGATGCAAGAGGCTGGCGCCTCGGCTCTGTGCGTGCACGGGCGCACCAAGGAGCAAAACAAGCACCGCTCGGGCCCGGCGGACTGGGCCGCGATTGCTCGCATCGTCGAGGCGCTCGACATCCCCGTCATCGCAAACGGGGGCATCGCGACCGCCGACGACGTTGCCGAGTGCCTCGCACGCACGGGCGCCGCGGCGGTGATGTCGTCCGAGGCGCTGCTGTGAACGGCGTCTCTTCACACCGGCCCTCCTGTGAACAGGCGCCGCGGCGGTGATGTCGTCCGAGGCGCTGCTCGAGAACCCCGCCCTCTTCTGCGCCAACGTCGACCCCGATTCGGGCGCCTACCTCGACCAGCCCGAGCTTGCGCGCCGCTACCTCCGCGTGTGCCGCCAGCTACCGCCGCCGACCCTCGGCCACGTCCGCTCGCACCCGCCCACCCGTCCTCACGAATGCCTCGTCTGGAGAGAGACAGCGCCACCCACAACCAGGCTCCGCATACAAACAACAGCCAGGCTCAGCACGCCCCTCTTCTAGGTCCGGTCGCACCTGTTCAAGCTGCTGCACGCCCCTCTGCGGCACCAGCCGCTGCTTCGTGAGGACCTCCTCGAGGCGAGATGTAGCGGAGAGATGGCCGAGGTGCAGCCGAGAGTCGGCCGAGGTGCAGCCGAGAGACGGCCGAGACACACTGCGTCCGCCGTGTCGTACTTCACCGGTCACTTGCGGGCGACTTGTGCCTGCATTCATCCATGACTCTCAGTCAGCGCTTTGATCCCAATCACGACACATGCGTGACTCGCCTAGTGTGGAGACGCCGTGACCCGTGGGGCCTCCTTGTCCTAGCACGGGGGTACCCGTGACAGCAGCAGCATTGTGCCTGCTCGGCGACCTCGCTCGACGACGTCGAGCTAATTAGTTAAGTAATTATCACGCATCAATGAATTAATTAGGCGACCTCGCTCGACGACGTCGAGCCCGTCGTCGAGCGGCTGGCGGCGTGCTCGCACCACCAGCCGGCCTTCCACACGCCGCGCTTTGACGCCGCCGCGTCGTGGTACTGGCGCCACCGCACCGCGGCGGTCTCGGCCGACGGCGAGCTGGGCGAGACGCGGGGGGCGGGCGGCGCGTCTTCGCCCGAGTCGCGTTCGCGGGCCGAGCTCGAGGCGGCGGCGCTGGAGCGGCGCGATCGGCGGCGGAGGGAGAAGAAGCGGCGGCGGCGGCAGCGAGGGGCCGCGTCGGTGGCGGCGGCACCCGCGGTTGCCGTTCTCTGACACGTGCATGTGTTTCACCTATGTCGGTGCTCGGTGTGCGCCGCGCGGCTGTTGTACATGTCTTGCGTTTCGGGTTTCGCGTGTCAGTGGTGTCGTCTAGCTCGGTGATAACGCTATACACAAGCCCACATATCCGTATCGCGCCGGACCGCACGCGCCGGCCCGCGCGGACGCACGACTGCACATGTGCCAGTGCGCAGTGGTGAGTGGAGAGTGGAGATATAAACGCGTAACATATGATTATGAAACATAATTTTGTGTGTGTGTGCCGGTGTCCATGATGTTGATGACGATTGATGTGCCGGTCTCGAGCCCCTCCCTGCCTGTTATGCCCTCGTATGGGCGCGAGCGAAGCGCTCTTATCCCCCCTACCGGGAGAAAAAAACGCCTATCCACGAGTGCAGGTCTCTGGCGCCTCAAACACCGGGTGGGGTGGGGTGGGGTAACTATATGATGCTTGATGGGGTGGGGTAACTATGCGAGACCTCGCACCCCCTTGGGGTAGCCCTCAGGGTTCCGGCTCCTACCCGGATGGGGGTCTGTTCCCACTGACTCGCGCCAAAACGCCTACCTACCTACCTATCCCCAGGCTGCCGCGCAGCGAAGCGAAAAAATATTCCTTTTGTGTAAACAAGACCAGCAGGCAGAGTTTTCCCCCTCATGTGCCCAAATGCGCCCGCCGTTTTTCGTCATACCCCCCCCCCCTCGAAACCCGCCGACTTTGACCGGGTCCGGTTCTACCTCACTCTCATCTTGAGCACTTGAGCACTGGATAGGGCCGATTCCGCATGGTACGGGACCCCTCGATCGTCTCGCCCTCCCTCACTGGTGTTCATTGGGGGGGGTCATAACAAACACGGTACAGGATCGAGGTGCACGCTGCCAAAGCAGTGTCGTCCCCCCTCTCCCCGACGGCGATGGCGGTGTGACCGATCGAGCTACAAGAGGAGCTTGTTCAGCAGGATCCGGGTTGGACTGGCGCACTACCTCACTGGGCCTGAGACCGCCGTACGCTTCCCGTCACCGTCTCGGGTTTGTGTGGGATCGAACCACTCCGGGATGGGCAAGCCCATCGTTCTGAGAGCTGTGCCTTTCCTTCACCTTGCCAATTGTCAAAATTCCTGTTGTGCAAGAGGGGAGGGGGCTCTGACGGAGTGCGTGGCGGGAGAGGGCAGGGAGTGGGCGCGGGGGAGGGGGGGGGGGGGGGGCTCACCCGTGCAAAAAGCATCAATTAATAATAGTAACCCTCTCATCTCTATACTTTCAAATATACTCCAAAGGCAATCCAAAGGCCCTTGTTTTTTATTATACCAAAAGGAGGGCACACGACGCCCTCTACGCTGGGGGGCCGGCGCCCTACTGGGGGCCCCCCGCTCCCTTCCCCTCAGAGCCCCCCATCCCACTAGCATTCCCCCGCGGTCCCTCGCGGCCGCGTGACGCCGCACCAATGGCGCGCTGCGCCTCGTCCGCGAGCGCCACCCAGAGCTGCACCGACAGTCGCTGCAGCGCAAACGGCATCCATTCGCGCACCGACCACGACGTCTGGTCGTACTGCCACCATGTGAGCTTCCGGCCCGCCACCTCAGCCACCCGCGTCAGCAGCTCCTCCACCCCCGCGCTCATTGCGCCGAACTCCTCGAAGAGCAGCGCCTCCTCCACACGGCACTTCCCCTCTGCGTCCGTGTACTGGCCCTTGACGGCCTCGACCGTCCCGGACCCCGTCCGCGGGTGCCACCTCCCCACCCTCCGCGTCCTGCCCCGCCCTCCACGCGCGCCCAAAACCGTCTCGCGGGCGCGTGGCAGCGTCGGCCCTTGTTTGGCATGGCCACCGCGCAGTGCGAGCTTTGCGACGAGAGCGGCGATACCGTCGAGCGGCGAGTCTACCGCGCTATCCGCCTGGCTCAAGGCCCCACGCCGGGTGATAAGGAGCTTCCCGAGTCGCTCGGCTTCATCAAGCGGCTTCGCAAGGATTGGCTGGCGGCAGGATCGCCCTCGCGCTGCATAGAGGTCGCCGGTGGACACGGACTGGTGTCGCTACTTCTTCTGTCGCTCGGGCTGTCGCGCGACGCGACTATTGTAGACCCGTTCCGACCTCGGTCCTTTGACACGCTGCTGTCGGCGTTCCGCGAAGCAGGGCTGCTTCCCGAGTCGTACTCGCTGCAGTACGACGAGAGGCCGCTCGATGAGGCGCTGCCGTACCTCCTGCGTGGTGGTGATGGCGGCGGCGGCGGCACTGTAGTCGTCGCCTGCCACGCCTGCGCGCACCTGACGCGGGACCTGGTCGAGATTGCCGTCGCCGAGCGGGCCGCCGGCATCGCTGTGATGCCGTGCTGTCACTCGCGCCGCACCGTCGCAGGGGCCGACCGGACGAAACACGCGGCGGACGCCCTCGGGCTGCCGCTCGGCGTCGTCGCAGACATCGCGCTGCTCGGCCGGCTCGAGGCTGCGGGGTACGACGCGAGGCTGAGGGTCGTGGAGGCGTGCGCGCCGTCGTCGAACCGCGTCGTCGTCGCCTTCCGGAGGGGGGAAGGGAGCGGCGGGGCGAGGCTTTGGGAGGGGAGCGCCGCGAGGGCGAGGGCGAGCGAGGGCCTGAGCCGGGCGTACGAGCGGGTGCACGCCGCGAGGCCGGCGGGCACCGGCAGAAAGGCGCGGAACCGGGAGCGAAGGGAGTACCGGGCGGCGCGGGAGCGCGATAAATAAATAAATAAAACGGACACCTCTACTAGGAGATGGGTAAAAAGGAACAGGCCCCCGCCCTGCGGTCTTTGTGCAGGGTTCTTTGTGGGTGTGGTCGGCGACTAGCCGGGGTCGTCCTCCCGATGGGGGATGACTATCACTAGCCGTCTTCCACATGGTCCCTCGGGTCCCTGCTGCTCCTAATCTCGTCGTACATCCTCCTGCTGATCTCCGCAACATCCTGCTCCCTCCCTCGTCTCGCCCTGCGCGTCTGCTCCGCCTCACCGTCGTCTGCTCGCCCGCGATATAACATATATATGCTGCCGAGCGAGAAGAATAAAGATGCCGTCTAAGACCGGCGCGGCATTTGACGCATGTGTGCGCAGCAGCGAGGCCTGATTTTTACACCAGCAGGACGGGGGCATGTGCCCCGATTACGGCTCTACTCAAGTATCTATCTACTCGTCTGTGACGTAAATCGGCTTTATACCCGCCGGCTCCTGACTGGTGACCGTGAGCACCAGAGTGTCCTTTCCAACTCTCGTAGCCTCCTCACCGGGGTTCCCGCGTCAGCCTCAGGCGGGAGGTCAGGGTGCTGCTTGGCGCCGCCACGCGGCTGCCGCTCACATAGATGGAGCGAAAGGTTGCGAGCGTCTCGGAGCCCTCGATCGCGCCGTCGCTGGCGGGAGCGAGCTGCCGCGAGAGAGTTGCAGTGATCTCCGTCGGCTCACCTTCGCGCTGCAACCGTATGCGCAGTTTCTCGGTGAAGCCGAAGCCGTACGGAGGATCGGGGCTGAAGGGCCGCACGTCTCTCGTCAAGACTTCAATGTCAATCGCCTCACGCGTAGTCATACGGGCGCTCAGCCGGTCCGGCGCGTCGCCACTCCAGGTCACCGCGGCGGGAGGCAAACCCGACCGCTGCGAATACTCAAAGCCGCGGTCAAGCACGCACGCCCTTCGGCGGGTGTCTGGTGTGGCGATGAAGCGAACAGCGAACTGCTCCGGCCGGCGAAGGTCGCCGGCGCCACCGAGGGCCTTCCAGACCGTAGTCGCCTCGCTGACCTCCCCATCGACGCGGCTCACCTCGCGGCGGCAGCGCCAGTCGCCGAGCAGCGCTGGCGGGTAAGCCACGTCCTGGCGCAGCTCCGCCGCCCTCAAAGCCATGTCCTGAGCGACTCGGTCTGCGACAGAGACGTCGGCGACGCTGCTGCGCGAGACGCCTGCAGCCGCTGCTGCCAGCAACAGCGCTCGCCTCGTCGTCGGCGGCTGCATAGGTAGCCGGATGCCGATGCCGCCGAAGTGGGCTTGCAGCGGGAGCGGAGCGAGCAAACGCGGATTTCGTTCCGGCTACTCGCATAATGTGGGTAAACGAAAAAAGTAGCGCCCAATTCGTCTACGTACGGCTTAGTGTGTGGTTGGGGTGGCCTCAGGCATCCCCAAGGGAGCCTCTGCGGTGCCACATAAGCAGCTTAGTGATTGTCGAGACTTTAAGGGATTCGTTTGAAGATCTCGCAAACAAGACAGACACTACTATGGTCACCAGTAAACGAAAATTCGACTTTGAGGGATAATATCTCAACAGACTGGGTGAGAGCATAGCATTATTATTGCATATTAGGCCGCATAAGGTCAGACTTGACCCCACAAGCATCCAGAACCCGATGCTCCGGCTCGACTGTGCCGGCACACTGCCTCCTCGCGCACGCGGCTAGCAGGCCGTTGCGGCCCGTGGTGCACCAGAGAGAGAGGTCGACGCGTTGCCCCCGCTGGCGACCCCGCGCGGCTCAGGCCGGCCAGAAGGTGTGTGGTGACGGCACCGTGGCAGGAGTGCGGAGATGAGCTCGCCGAACGCGAGCAGCAGATGGCCAAAGTGTGCCAGCGCGAGAGCCTCGCGAGCGGGCGCAGAAGGAGCTCGCCGTGACACGATGCCGGGCGGTGGTGGTGCTCTGGCGACTGTGCACAGTGGGCAAAGTCAGGCTGCAACAGGGCAGCACGATGGTAGTGCCCTGCTGCAGCCTGGCCTGACATGCACAGGGCGAACAGAGACACTACTATCGTCTGGCGCTCGTCACCGAATCTGGGCGAACTTCGACCGCCGCCACAGCTGGCCACGAGCACGCAGCGACAAAATGCTGACTGTACGGAAGTTGAGGCTGGTCGAGAGGAAGAGGCTGCCGTGCGAGCCGGCAGCTGGCTGGCTCGGGCGGACTGACTCCGGCGTGTTTTTTCGGCTTCTTCTTTCATAGTAGCGTATACGCTACTTTCGTTTACCCACATTCTGCGAGTACCTGGTACCTGGTAAAGGGCCGCTGCTGTAAGTTCGGAAAAATGCGCGCGTTCCCGCGTTGGATACCCATCACTGAGCCGACAATGCTACGGGTAGCCCCGTATCTGACGTCATCTCGACCGTATCTGGCGTCATCTCGACGTCATCTGACGTCATCTCGACCGCAATGGACGCAACGGACTGAGCCTTCTCCGATTTGAGGGAGGGCGGCGGCTTGGCTGGGGGGCAATAGACCCAGCGCAGCTGAAGGAGGACGCCGCCGGTACGCAGCAGGAGTAGAAGGATGCACAACGTCGACCACGCCACGCGGAACCCAGTATGCAAAGCAGGGAGGCCCGTGATGACCTCGTGCAGGCACACAGTAGCAAATGCATTGGAGCCATTCATCACGAGCACGTAAGCGAATAGCGCGAGCCGACTCTGCGGCCAGAGCGAGAGCAAATTGTAGAAGCCCGAGCCGATCTCGGCAACCACACCGGTGGTTGTTACCAGACCGGCGCCGGCGTTTACGAAAAGGCACATTCCGAGGCCGGCGAAGGTCGCAAGGTGGTGGACCCAGAAGGGTGGTGTCATCCTCTCATATTCGAAGCAATCTTTGAGCTCAACCGCAAAGGTCGCGTAAATGCTGTGCCGCCCCAGGGACGCGAGCGGCCGCGATCCGCTCTGCAACAGTGCCCAGGAGCCCGTCCACCACTCCGTGAGACCGACGGTGGCCGACGCTAGCAGCGGCAGAGTCAGCAACATGATGGTGCACACGATTTCTTGGTGAGCGTGTTGGGTGTTGATACCGTACCTATAGCGCACACTGACATCGCCGGTACGCACCCCGTACCCCTCTCCTTACTCCCGCGACATCGCGGTCCACCCCCCTTCTCGCGCGTTGAAAAACCAGGTTGAGCCGCGAGCCTCAACTTGGCAGGGTCGGCGTTCATGATAGCGGGCACGGAATGAAGAAAAGAAGACATGTGTGCGTACGTACGTGGTGAAATCTCTTCAGCCATATGCGTCGCGTCCACCCTCCCCTCCTCTGGCGCGCAAAGGATCAATCCGTAGATTATGCTTTACCCCCTTGAAATTAGTAATTACTCAACTACTAGGGTTAATTTGGCCCCTCGTCGTTAACACAATGCTGTCTTAAGGTCCGACAGGTTCGGCACCGGGCACCGCCTCGGTATACAAAATGCGCCTGCGGGCGGACCCTTACAGATCACAGATCACTGGCCTTCCATACTTGCGTTCGCTCACACTCACGGCCACCGGTGCCGCGTGGCGTCACCGCTTCCCATGTGTCTCCGGGTATAGTAACCTGCTAACCTGCTACTGGCCTTCCATATCTCGAGATACTCGTAGGGTACCGGTATCTTCCCTTGACGCGACGAATGATGATGCTTTGATGGACGGCGGTGGACGAGGTCGTCTAGTGCACGTGCTTCTCTGCGTCTCTCTGGTCGGCTCCGCTTCTTACAGGCTGCACGGTCTGACCAGCTTCTGCCACCACTCTGGCTCACGGTGCGGCAAACGAGCAGCCACGCCAAGGTGTGCATGTGAGAGCAGGAGGGCGGACGTGATCGTTGTGGGTGGTGGCCATGCCGGCTGCGAGGCGGCAGCAGCAGCAGCGCGCACTGGTGCGCGCACTATCCTCGTGACCCAGCGCATCGACACCATCGGTGAGATGTCGTGCAACCCCTCGATTGGCGGCATCGGCAAGGGCCACCTCGTCCGCGAGGTGGATGCGCTCGATGGGCTGATGGGGCGGGTGATCGACGAGGCTGGCATGTGGTCGCTCTACATCTAGAGCCGCTGCCAGAGAGTGCTTGTGTACGTTGTACTTGTACCCGTTGAACTTGAAGCGTTGTACTTGTAGCCGCACTGGCCACTGCTTGCCCGTGGAAAGGTGCTTGCCTGTCTTGGCATGCCTGTCTTATTGTGCGCCTGCGGGCACATTGGCCCTAGGACAAAGAGTCATACTCATCTAGATTCAATCTTTATCTTAGATTCTGATTCTACTTTCGTTTCTAGTCATAAAAGACATAACACAGTTGTGTAGCTCATAGACATAGTCATACGACGGCGGCAGTATACGCGATGCCAGCGAGTACACTGTGCAGTCCAAGTGCGGGGGGGGAGTGCCCGCGCGACGACTGGAGGCAACACGCTGGGGCTACTACAGGACGGCACATACGACAACGATGACGGACCACGCTGCTCGCTGGTTACCGCCAATCAAGCGCCACAAAAACATAACATCCGCGCTCACCGCACTCTCCTCCTTCGCCGATGGCAGATCTCCGGCGCCTCCACGCATGGATAGCGGTTCTTCTCGTTGTTTATCACGAAGAACTGCTCAAATGTCTTCACGACGCTTGAGTTCATTGGCTCCCACTCCACCACCGAGCGGTTGCCAGCGTCAACTCGCCTCGCCTTCATCACCAACGGTCCGAGCGCTGGGGACGAGACGTTCCAATCGACGTGTTCCCGGTAGTTCTTATTTGGGTGCATTACCGTGACGTGATCCTTGAGCGCCGCCATCGTAGTTGCATTCCGCAGCCGTTCCAGTGCTCGGAACGGGTAGACCCACTTGCGCCAAGTCACGTCAACGATCATCGGATCTAGACCCTCGCCACATGCATCCCACGTCAACTTCCCGAGGCCCCCGTCGCAAGAGCCGTGACTAGTCGCCTCCTCCGTCCGACTGATTAGCAAACAGCGCTTCGTCCGCGCGACAAACCCACGGCTGCGAATGTCCAACCCCCCTGATGCAAACGGGTACACCAACCCCTCCTTCCAGTTACTCTTGCAGCGAGAAAATCCACGGCCACGTCCACGACCACCCCAACGGAAGCTCGACTCTCCACACCACGCGCCTGTGCCGTCCGCGCGATTATGGGCACACCACTGGAACATCCCGAACCAAATGAGCGGCGAGAGCTGAGAGACAGCAAGCAGCTCGTGCACAAGCCTTCCCGCGTGCACGATTGTGTCGTCCTCAACCTTCCCAATGAACGGCACAGAAAGGAAGTTGCGCACCGCGTACCCAAACCACCAGCCCGCCTTACAGATGCAAGCGGTCGCCTTCAGATCACTCCGAGACGAGTTCTGCTCCAACTCGCCACAAACTGTAGGTGCGACCACGTGTGTGGCGGGGTCGATCTTTTTTTTGTACGCCACCGTGACCACCCAGCGCCAGATCAGCTGGGGCGCCGCAAGCCCGGCGTAACGAAAGTTCGTCAGCTCAGACCGCGGCCCAAGGAGGACACCCAGCACGGCGAGCTCGGACATGTCGTGTCGGTTTCAACTGTCTGGAAGGTGGCATGCGCGTTGAAACGAGTTGGGGTGTCTTCTACTGGCACTAACCTGCCACGCGCCTTACCGCGCAAGATCGATGACTGTCGCTCCACGACAATGCTCAAAGACCTAAAGCCTCAAAACTTGTCGCGACGCGCACCTACAAAAGTCCACACCGGAAACCGCACGGAAACGAAACCGACGCACAAGCACGATATTCGCACATCGGTGCAAACGCTCCCTCCCGTGCGCCAGTGCGCAAAGCTCATTCCAGTCACAATCAGCATTATAGCGCGCTGCTTATCCATGCGCATAGCCCTGGAACAAGCGAAGCATGCGCCACGCTCGATTAGGAAACCTAACATCACCCCTGAAACATCGGGACAGCAGACTGCAATTTTCCCAACAGCTTCATTCCTCGCTCCGCCATCACTTTGTCCGCGACGTTGAAGATGTACGCCTTCATCTTGTTGAACGTCGTCGCGTCGAGCGCCTTGGTGAAAATATCGGCAACTTCCTCGAGGAGTGGGCATACGACTGCCATCGCCCTGCCCCCATGACACCTAAAAAGGCGATTCCGGGATCGGAGAGCGGCAGCAACGTGGCTCAGTTGATGGCGAACTTCCGCCAGGGCCTCGAGGCGGAGGGACTGCAATCCAGAGGGATCGAGCACCAGCGCTCGGTGCGGAGCTCTCTGTCGGGAGTGTGACCAGGTCAACTGAGGCGTCTTTTTACGGGGTACTTTATACCGAACGCGATTAAAACACCACGGTTTCGAAAGCGCCGGCTTTCGCCTCCTGGCGCCCGCCCTCTTCCGCGTCCCTCCCCTGTCCCCTCGACTGCACTCACTCTTTGCATCGTAAGAAGGCTCAAACCTTCCCTTGTGCGAGGGGCTGCGGCACCGCGCGCGCTAGCCTCCCGGCCGCGCACGCAGCCGATGCAAGTTGATGCGCTGCTCGACGCGCGGCGGCGGGAGGAGCGGGAGGGTCTCCTCAGGCCGCGAGAGCAGGATCGGCAGCACGTTGAGGGTCAGCTGGGCAAGGAAGAGGCGGCCGACGTCGCCGAAATGGATGCGCGTGTGGTCGTGGTGGCGCATCTCGCCGCGTCGGACGCCTACGTGCTGAATACGCCGACATGAGGGCGTGAAGACGGTGTTATGCAGCGTACTCAGAGCACCGCATGAATACAACGGAGAGGAGTACAGTGAATACAGCGGAAGACGGCCGAAGACAGCGGAGTACGTGTTCTCTCGAGTGCTGGTTGGGAGACATGAATACGTACTCCGCTTCTAGGGCCCGAGATGTGGGGAGATATGGGGAGATATGGGGAGATATTCCGCTTCTAGGGTCGGACGCCACTCCAGCTCGCGTTGAACCACGGCAGCGCGGGCACCGTGCGCGCGGCGGCGAGCGCCAGCAGCTTGGCCTCGTGCGCGAGGTAGAGCTGGCGCGTCTGCCAAGGACCAGGCGTGGCGGTTGACCCGCTGGCAATGGTCTGGCGCGGGGTGCTGGGAATGGTGCGTGGGATTGGTGCGTGCGTGTGTGCCGTCGGTGGCACGGCCGGCGGTGCAGTGCCGTGGGGCGGGGGCGGCCCCGCGCCTCCACGCGCGCAGACTCGAGCACGCTCCGCACCACGCACCGTGTCGGGGCGGCCGCAGCGCACCCTGACAATACGTCCTTCCAGACCGCCTCTACCTTGCCGTCCCAAGCAAGCTCTTCCGGCGCGGTCGGCCGCCCCTTGACCTCGAGCCACGTCGCGGCGAGGAAGAGGAGGTGCGCGCCGTGCCCGAACGAGTCGGCCTGCCACCCCGTCAGCGTCGCGCGCCTAACGGGTGGACACCCTGCCGTCCGCCGCGTGCGCCGCGTCTGCGCCGGCCAGGCGAGCTGCGGCAGCCCGCGCCACTCGCTGTCGAGGTCGGCGGCGTAGACAAAGCTCAAGAGGGTGAGGTCGCCAGAGAGATGCCCCGCGACGCCCTGCCCCGGCCCAGCGGGGGGGCGTTCCTCGGCCGGCAGCTGCAGGGCGGCGCGGTGCTTGCGAAGGGCAGAGGCGATGGCCCGCTCGTACCCGCCCGGGCAGACCATCCTGCGTGCTGAATACGCCGACATGAGGGCGTGAAGACGGTGTTATGCAGCGTACTCAGAGCACCGCATGAATACAACGGAGAGGAGTACAGTGAATACAGCGGAATACGGTCGAATACAGCGGAGTACGTGTCCTCTCGAGTGCTGGTTGGGAGACATGACTACGTACTCCGCTTCTAGGGCCCGAGATGTGGGGAGATATGGGGAGAGATGGGGAGATATTCCGCTTCTAGGCACACCATCCGGTACGACCGGCGGCAGTACGAGTCGCAGATCGGATCGGGCACGGCGGTGAGGATGCGGAGGCGGCCTGCGACAGAGAGGCGCGGCGTGGGAAGAGGCGCGGCGTGGGAAGAGGCGCGGCGTGGGAAGAGGCGCGGCGTGGGAAGAGGCGCGGCGTGGGAAGAGGCGCGGCGTGGGAAGAGGCCCGGCGCGGAGGCCGAGCGCGGGGAGAGGAGGGGGAGGGAAGGAGTCTGATCTCGAGTGTGGCGGCGGGGCTGGGATGCGACGGCTCCAGAGGAGGAAACGCGCCGGCAGCTTGCGCGACCGTGGCCGGAGGGGCCGAGGAGGAGGGGGGTCTGTCGCCGCCGTCGGAGGTCCAGTCGCGCAGCTTGGCGGCCATGCGGTGCATGAGCGCCCCGCAATAGCCGCTCGTCGTTCCCATCGAGATGGTCAGGCGGGTGGCGCGCTCCGCGCCTGCGCCGCCGGCCGGTTGCCCCGCGCTGGGAGAGGTCGCCGCCGGCCTGACAAGCGCCTTGGAGCACTGTTGGTCCATCCACTCCTGGTACGTGCACGGCAGGGACGCGCCTGCGGCCTCAACACGCCACCGCGCGTCAGGACGGCGCTGCCGCGGCGTCCTCGCGCGCGGGCGCTCTTTGCGGCGCATTCGACTCGAGGCAGCGCCGCCTCCACCAACCTGAACAGAGCGCCGGCCGTGTCGTCACCCCGATGCGAGCGTGGGAGGCGCGCGCCCCCCCCTCACACCCTCGCCCGGCGCCTGCGCATGCTCCGCAGCGCCACCTGCGCCTCCAGCCGCCGCAGCTCGCCCGCCGACAGCTGCGAGCGCCTCGCGTCTGCGCCGCGTCGCAACGCAACCTCGACGAGGAGGCGGTAGCGCACGCCCCGCATCGTGCTCCACGGGGGTGGGCGCCCCATCTCGACCGCGTGCACGAACCGCCGGTCCACCGTCCACTCGCTGCGAGGCACGCCGCAGAGCTGCTCTGGGTCGAGCATCACCTGCGTACGTGCGGGAGCGCAGTCACCGAGGCGCTGCACGCGGCCGCAGCAGACGCCGCGAGGCGAGGTCCAACCCAGCGGCCGGTGCGCACGTTCAGCAGCACCGCCTGCCCCGCGTGGTATGCGCGCGCCGTGTCGAACATCGAGTCGTTGAGCGCGATGGCTTTAGAGTCAAAGGCTGCGCTCGAGTCTGGAACAGCGTGGCCACGCCGCCGCCGCATGCCGCCCACCGAGTCGACGAGCGCCCACAGCCACCGCCGCGCGGTGGAGTCACCCACGAATGTGAGCGAGCGGCCGCGCAGGAGTGCGCGAGCTCTTTCTCTCCCAACCTCGCCAAAGCCGCAGCAGCGTGCCTCGCTCGCCCACTGCCACTGGCCGGAATGCCACTCGCCCGCGCCAGAGCGCAGCAGGCAGGCGCTGGGGTCGCACGAGCTGGACATGCTGTTGTGTGTTGAATGTGCAAGTGGGTGCGAGGTGTTGGCGGAGAGAAGAGGAACCCCGAGTAGTGTACCTACGCGCGCCAAGAGCGCGGCGCTACTGCTGCTGCTGCTGCTGTTACGTCTTCGGTCCCCGCCCCCCCCCCCCCCCCCCCCGGGGCGGAAGCCCCGCGCATAGGACAACAACGTCTGTCCCACACACGCACAGACGCGCACATACATGTACATCATGCTCGGGCACACCCCACAGTGTAGTGGTGTGAGTACACAAGTACTAACTACTCCCTTAATGTAGGTAAACCATAAAAGTAGGTTTGAATTCGTCCACGTAAGGCTTGGTGAGTGGTTGGGGTGGCCTCAGGCATCCCCAAGGGAGCCGCTGCGGTGCCACATAAGCAGCTTAGTGATTGTCGAGACTTTAAAGTATTCGTGTGAAGAAACGCAAACAGGACAGACGCTACTATGGTCACCAGTAAACCATAATTCGACTTTGAGGGATCATATCTCAAAAAGCCGGGAGACAGCATAGCCTTATTGTTGCATATTATGCCACATAAGGTCAAGCTTGACCCCACAAGCATCAAGAACCCGATGCTCCGGCTCGACTGTGCCGGCACACTGCCTCCTCGCGCACGCTGCTAGCAGGCCGTTGCGGCCCGTGGTGCACCAGAGAGAGAGGTCGACACGTTGCCCCCGCCGGCGAGTCCGCGCGGCTCAGGCCGGCCAGAAGGTGTGTGGTGGCGGCACCGTGGCAGGATTGCGGAGAAGAGCTCGCCGAACGCGAGCAGCAGATGGCCAAAGTGTGCCAGCGCGAGAGCCTCGCGAGCGGGCGCAGAAGGAGCTCGCCGTGACACGATGCCGGGCGGTGGTGATGCTCTGGCGGCTGTGCACAGTGGGCAAAGTCAGGCTGCAGCAGGGCAGCACGATGGTAGTGCCCTGCTGCAGCCTGGCCTGACATGCACAGGGCGAACAGAGACACTACTATCGTCCGGCGCTCGTCACCGAATCTGGGCCAACTTCGACCGCCGCCACAGCTCGCCACGAGCACGCAGCGACAAAATGTTGACTGTACGGAAGTTGAGGCTGGTCGAGAGGAAGAGGCTGCCGTGCGAGCCGGCAGCAGGCTGGCTCGTCGTGGACTGCAGCGGCGATTTTTCTGGGTTTCTCTGTTCTAGCACGCGCCAGTTCGCACCTGTGTCGAGCCTGTCTGCTGTGAGAGAGAGTTGTTTTGTCTAAATTCTCTGTTCATAGTAGCGTGCACGCTACTATGGTTTACCCACACTAAGCGAGTAGCAGAGTGCACACCTGCCTTGGTTGGTACTCGAGTATGCCATCCATGCGCGCGGACCACGCTTGCGTGGATTTGTGGCTGGCAGGCTGACCCGTGTGCGGGGTAACCCGCGCGCGGGGAAGCTTCACGGGTTCGAGTCGTCAAACATTGAGCAGCGGAGGTGTGCCGAGGGGGACCGGGAGGCGGTACTCGAGTAAGTCGTCGTCGCCCGGGCGCTGCTTGCAGCACCATGGCGAGGGCGCTAAGAGGTTCCTCTTTTCCGCGCCCCCCCCGCAAGGCGCGCGATACACTGGCGGGTGAGGGTCGTAAGAATCAAAGCCTCTTGGTGCCAAACGTGCTCGAGCGCGCCGAAGAGAGACGATCTACGCTCGAGGGAGTTAGCGAAAGTCGCACGGGCAGAGGGGAGACCGAGGCCTCCGGCAGTCCGCACCGCCTCGCGGAAGGGAAGCAACGATCAACTCCAGATTGGACTTGCCTACGCGCGCCAAGAGCGCGGCGAGAGAGAATTTTACTCGCCTTGAAGCACCACACTGGGCATAGACTCGAGGGGCCAGGATATGCAGCGAGGAGGACGGAGCTGCGCCGAAAGGCGCAAGAAGCAGCGAGAACAAGGGACCGGCAGGCGGCGGCGGCGTCGCAGAACGAGGCAGAGGAGAGCGACGCGACAGAAGAAGAAGCGACAAGCTAGGGAAAGAACGACGAGAGTGGGACGACCGCGAGGTGGCATGAAGGTTGCAGCGAGAATCGGCGAGAGACTGCGAAGAGAGATAGGAAGAGGCGGACGCCCAAGGGTGGGCGACGGCTAGCGCACCACACCCCTCTCCTTAAAATCCCTGTGTGGTGGCGGCGTGCCGTCCTCCCATCCCTCCCTTGGGTTGTCCGTTTTCTTTCTTTCTTTCTGGGTATCCCTGTGTGGTGGCGGCGTGCCGTCCTCCCATCCCTCCCTTGGGGCGAGAACGCCAGCTCGCCAAGAAAAGAATTTTGGTTCCCGCAAGAAAGGAATTTCGCTACCCAACGCGGCCAAAGGATATCCACCTCGAGAACCTCGAGAAAAGAATTTCCGCTCACGGAGAAGGTTGCGATGATGGCGCCGACTTGCGGCGACAGGACACTGTGTCCGAGCGCCTCGTGCTGATCCCAGCCATCCGCAACTCTCATTCAGGTGCCCGGCTGGTCGCTCAGGCTGCGCGCGCAGCGCGCGCGCGCGCACACACACACACCGCTCACCCACGCCCGTCCTCTACGGGGCCTTGCACTTTTAAGCCGTGCGCACACGCCGTGGGGCTCCTGTCGTCTAGCTGTGCGGTCAGGAGTTGCGAGGGACGCGCCCCCAACCTGGTTTGTGGAGCTCCCACACATTACCTAGAGAGCACGGCATTCGGGGCCATGTGATGTCGGTTCCCCACCGGACTTTTTTTGTAGTGGAGAGAATGCAGGAATCTTTCTGCTATAACCGACACTGCCATCGCGCTCCTCTATTCAGACCAGATAGTGAGTCTTAACTGTAAATTACCGTCGGAAAGCTGTCAGAACGGCTGTCAGAACGCTGTCAGAACAACTGTCAGAACGCTGTCAGAACGCTGTGTCAGAACGCTGTCAGAACACTTTTGTGGGTAGGGTACTGTCAGAACGTTGCCAGCACGCGAAAGCGGGCCAAGTGTGAACAGCCTTCCAGCCTGACTGAACCGCCGGGCTCGCGCTTTGCCCATTGTGCTGCGTCGAACCGGTAGCCCCTGGGACCGCGGACCGCGGTTCGTTTGCGTCGCGGGGCTGTGTGCACTGCCGACCGTCGCAAGAGCACGTTTGCTATAAAGCGGCATGGCGGCCTTGGCGTTGCCACCCTGACAACGGACGACCGTTGCTGCGCGCTCGACTCTCTCGCGGCAGCACCATTGTCTCATTTCTTTTTTCGTTGTCACATCAGGGCGTGAGCTCGCGCATGCGAGCGCGCAAACACAGGCGAAGCAAGGGCGCGACTGCGTGGTTACATTTAATCATTCATCTTGGGCAACCTCGAGTGATATGAGTTCGAGTAATATGAGTTGACCTCGCGTACTGTATTCCACGTCCTGACCTAATTAATTGCGTATTGTATTCCGCTTCGGGTATTCGTAAGTATTACAGGGGCGGAGGAAGGCGCGGGCGGCGTGGCGGAGCTGTCTCGACTCAGTGCAGTGTACCACCACCCACGCTGTAGATGGACAGAGGAACCAACAGAGCGCAGTGGGAAGGGGAAGGGGGGAGAGGCTGCGAAGGGCGAGGGGGGGTGGAAGGGGGTGGGCCGTGCTATGCCACCTGCCTCGTGCGCACCTCTATTCTGCTCCGGAGTGACTCGCCACCGCCATCCCTGGGCCCACTGGGCAGTCGTGTGAGGGGCCGCCCCCTAGTCTTGCGAGGGGTGGCTGCTAACCTCGCGTGGGTAGGAGGTGCTCTGCGAACTGCCTCGCGCGAGGGGCGTGTGGCATCTCTCGCGAGTCTTGGAATAGTCTCCCCTGACCCCGGCCCCCGCCGGCCCGCCTGCCCTGCCCGCTGGCCGATAAGATCTCTTCACCTTCTCATTGGTGGAGTATAGGTACGAGGGTGGTGTGGCATCTCTTGCGGGTCTCGCCAGGGGCGCCTACCAACCTCGCTTGCGAGGGGCGTGTGGCATGTCTGAACGGACTCGTGAGGGGCGCCTGCCAACCTCGCTTCGTCGAAGCGGCGCTTGGTACCCACACCCACCCCGCCGCATTCGTCGCCGGCGCGCGACACGTTCCACCGTCGGCTGGACTGCCCTCGTCGAGTGCGTGTCGCCAACCAAGGCGGGACGCACTGTCTCAGGGACAGTGCCGGCGGGACGCGGCTCGAGAGGCGGCTCCCGCGGAGGCACGGCTGGCACCCGTGGCGCGGGGCTCGTCTTCGGAAAGACCAGGATCGCTCTACTGGCAAACTTCTGGCTGACACGCGCGCCCGGTCGAGCCTTCGGCGGGCGCGCTGCGGTCGCACGCCTACCCAAGTCATATGCCACGGCGTGCGATCTAGATTCAGCACACGCGCCTCTGCTCGCAACCACTCATCCAATGAACTGTCGTCACCCATGAGTGCGAGTTAGGGCTAGCGGCTGGCCAATAGCCTGTGAGGGCGTCCATAGACACCTCACAAGACCCCACACACGGTTTCGTCCATGCCTTGCGGCTGGCGACGAGATTGCTAGAGGGGCGGAGCAAGCCTGCTCTAGTCTCACGCGTTCGCCCTGTCGCCTGTCTGTGTTGTTGTGCTGTTGTTTGTCTCTTGGCACCTTGGAGTGCTGGGGGGGGCGACAGGGGGGACGTGGCCTGAGTGATGTGTACGCCCACTCAGGATGTGTGGCAGCCCGCTGGCTGTGTGTCTTGTGAGCTTGTTTGTGTCTGTGTGTCGCTCGTGCGTGTCGTCATCATCTGTCTAGCGGCCACCCATACCGCGTCGGTGTCCAGTCCGAGCCTGACTGTTCTTCACCTTCCTACATACAACAGGAGTATACAGGAGAACTTGGCGTCGAAGTTGAAAGTTGAAGTTTGTGTCAGAACGGGGACTAAGTTTGTGTCAGAACAGGGCCTACGCCTCACCGTGAGAGTGTCGCCTCTTGGGAGGGTGTGCTGTGTGTGACTGTGTGCGTGTGTGTGTGTTGAGTGAGTCCGTCCGTCCGTCCGTCCGTGGCTCGGTCGGAGGGAGGGAGACTTGAAAACAGGAAGAGGGAAGGAGCAGGGCAACTGGGAATGTCAGAGCCCCTGAGCTGTGAAGAGAGGGGAGGATTTTGCGCTGTCAGAACGCTGTCAGAACGCTGTCAGAACACTGTCAGAACACACTGTCAGAACAGGTGTGGGAGCTCCACAAACCAGGTTCCCCCCTCCCCCCTTGCGCACATACGTGTGTTTGGGCCAGATTTGCTAGCAGATTTGATACATGCTTGCAGCGCCGGTACATTATGACATAGGGCAAAACACCCGCGGCTGTTAACCAACGGCTCGGGGCTGTCTCGCGCTCTCGGCGACGCGGCGCCCCGGCACGCACCGCCCGCGCCTCGGGAACAAAATGCGCCTGCGGGCATGAGTGCATAGATCTTGCGGGTAGCCCTCACAGCTCACGGGGCAAAAAAGATGTGCACACCAAGGCGCGCAACACGGCCGGCAAGGCGCACCTCGAAGAGATTGCGCACCTCAGAGCTCGCTCTTCGTTGTCGGCGGGGGCGCCTTGATGCCGCCCTCGATGGCCGCCACCTCCGAGTTGAAGGCACCCACCTGGCGTGGGATGCGAGTGGCGCTAATGAGTGACCGCCGCCCGCCCAACGCGCCCCGCGTCCGCGAGGGCGCGCGCGCCTGCGTGAGGGCGCCGTCGGCCGAGAGGGTGGCGCCGGTGACGTAGGAGGCGCGCCCGTTGTCGCTGAGGAAGAGGATCGGGCCCGCCATCTCCCACGGCTCGGCGATGGAGCCGAGCGGGATGGCGCGGTCTACCGCCTGCCGAGGGGCGGCGGGCGTCGCGAGCTCTCCCGGCTCTCCCGGCACCGCACGGTCCGGGCTCCGCGTGGCGCGGCTGATCGCCTTGCGGCCCTCTGTCCACTTTGGGTCGTCGGGCCCGAGCCGCTCGCCGTAGTCGTCCCTCAGCATCTGCGTGTGGATCAGGCCTGCGCCGGCGTCCGCGAGACGGCGGGCGTGTGAGCGGCGGGCGCGGCGGGCGCGGCCTCGCGGCCGGCGTTGCTCGCGGCTCCTGGGTTGAGCACGTTGACTCGGATGCCTCGCGGCGCATACTTGACCGCGGCCTGCTTGGAGAAGCCCTGCGTCGCAAACTTGGAGGCGGTGTACATGGTGCCGCATACGCCCGCGTGCTCGCCGCACAGCGAGCCCACGTTGACCACCGAGCCGCGCTTGCCCGTGTCGACCCAGTGCTTGATCTCGGCGTGCATCGAGTAGAGCATCTGAACGCGCGCGCGAGAGCGGTGGTGAGTGTGCCTGCTCGTGACGCGCGGGGAGTGGAGCGGCCTGGCCGCGACGGGAGAGCGGCGGCGGGGAGTGGCGGGAGCCGGCGCGAGCGTGGAGGGAGGAGGGCGGCGGGTCCTCAGCGCGCGCCCCGTAAATGTTGAGTCCCATCGGGTCGAGAGGCGAGCCGAGAAGCTCGAGCAGCCGCGGCTCGCCTGCCTGGACGCCGGGCACTCCCGCCATGCCCGCGGCGTTGACAGCGACGTCGAGCCCGCCCAGCAAGCGGATCGCCTGGGAGGAGCAAAGAGGTTGCCACAGTGAGCACCCCGATCCCGCCGGATGGAGGGCCGTGAGATTGTCTGCACTGCTGTGTGGTGTAACTGAGGTTGTCTGCACTGCTGTGTGGTGGAACACACCTCTGCCACCACGCCCAGTGCCTGCGTCTCGTTGGCCAGATTGCCGGCGACCGCGTGCACTGCCACGCCCGGACAGGCCGAAGGGGTCTGCGAGCGCAGCGCATCCGCCGTGCGCTGCGCTTTGGCGGAGCTCGAGCCGGCGATCACGACGTCCGCACACTCGTTGCGGAAGCCGAGCGCTGCCGCCAAGCCGATTCCACTGGAGCCGCCGGTGACGAGCACCTTCTTGCCTGCAAAGCGGCTTGCAAAGGGCGAGAGCTTCGCGGTCCACTCGGGCAGCGCCGCGTACTCATCCTCGGGGACGGCTGCTTCGCCGGACGCGGTGAGGGCGATTGCGGTGATGAGTGGCAACGGCATTTGTTGACGGGTCCACGTAACAATAGCCAGCTCTGACAAGCTGTGTGCCCGGCCTTCGTCCGATGCACACCTCTCGTATCCGTCTGCACCCCTTTCGGGCCGTGAAAAGCTCTCTTCCGCACAGCCGGTCGACACAGACGACACACCCAACCACCTACCTACTTAGAAGACTTCAAATCCTGATAGGGCGCGTCGTGCCGCTCGCTCTAGCACGCACGACCGCCGAGTGCGAAACGAAACTGCGAATCCTATAAATAGTGTAGATGCGACAATGCGAGAGATATCCCAGCCTCCGCGCCGCGATGCGCCCGCCGCCCCCTCCCCCTCGCTTTTGCAATATCCTGCAAAGGTCGGGACTGTCTTGTCCTCGACCCAGCCCTAGTCGCGACGGCGTCTACAAAGAGGCGGCGCGATCGATGCCTTCCAACCACGTCGTGAAGGCGTTCCTGAGCGACCTGAACCACGCGGCCGCTCCGAGCGACATCGTCGTCTGGGACGTCGGCGCGAACGACGGCGGATGGTCGAATCGTCTCATGCAGCTGCTGCCGGAGCGCCACCGAAACGCCACACGGCTGAGCGTCTTCGAGCCGCAGCCGCGCTTCGCGGACGAGCTGACGAGCCTCGCCGCGCGGTGGAGCGGCACCTTCCACGCGGTGGCCGCGGCCACGGCCGACGGCAGCCTGAATTTCTTCGCGCCGCCGCGCAACGCGAGCAAAGCGGACACCGTCGTTGCGTCGCTGCTGGACTCGAACCGCCCGTCCGTCGCGAAGGAGCAGATCTCGGTGCCGGCGTTTGACCTTGCGGTGCCCATGCTGCGGCTGCGACCGGACGAGATCGTGTTGATCAAGCTCGACGTCGAGGGCTACGAATTTGAGCTGCTGCCGCACCTCCTCGTGAGCGGCGCGCTCTGCCTCGTCGACTACCTGCACATCGAGTGGCATCCATCGGTGCTGTCCCAGTCGAGGCTGAGCCGGGGGCTCGCGCTCGGGGAGGCGATGAACCTGGTGCTCCGTGGCTGTACGCGGCCGCCGAGAGCCATCGGCCACGAAGGGCTCTCGGAGAGGCAGCTGAGGCGGTTCCAGAAGTACGCGCTGGGGTGCGCCGGCGGCCTGAAGCCGGCCTGAGTCGGTGCTTCTGTGCTAGAGCGCTCCTAGCTAGATCGTTGTTTACGCGATCGAATTTTGTTATTGAGGAGACCGTCCCGTCGTTCGTGCACGGCGGTGCTCGCCCTCGCGTTCAATCCAGAAGCGCATCGTCGTAGCACTAGCAGGTGCTGTCCCGGCCGGTCTGACGTGACGTACACTACTCTCTGCAAGGGCCGGTGACGGTAAAAGCCGTAACCAGCTACGACCTCTACGAGCCACCAGCGCCACGCCCCTCGTCCCGTGGCCTCCCGCGCCCACCCCGCCCACCCCGCCCACCGCGCCCACCGCGCCCACCGCGCCCACTGCGCCCCCCTCGCTGTCGCCCACCGACCGCCGCCGTGGCGCCCGCGGGCTGTGCATGGGGCGCAGTGCGCGAGGGCGGCTGGTGGACAAACGTCGTCTGCGCCGCCACCAGCCGCCCAGTTGCGACGATGGGCAGCGCCGGCTGGCGGCAGGCCGGGCAGTTGCTGTCGCGCTCCAGCACGCGCGGCGCACACGTCTCGCAGTACAGCGCGTGGCCGCACGCGAAGCGGACCGACCGAGGCGCGTCCCAGCAGAGGTCACACAGGCGCTCCTCGGCTGCCGCCGTCTCCCCCACCTCCCCCGCCGCTTCGACTAGCGCCTCCAGCCGCGGCAGCGCCACTGTGAGCGGCATCCCCGCTTCCTCTTCCGCTCGTACGCCAGCCCGACCACGAGCCGCACCAGCTCCTCGGCCTGCGCCGCCGACCAGCCCGCGTCGGCCGCCGCGATGCCCTCCGCCGTGTCGGGCTCGTCGAGCGCATAGTCGCACGCGTTGAGGAGGCCGAGAGCGCCGCGGCCGGTCAGGCTGACGAGCAGCGTGATGCCGAGCGCATAGCTGTCGGTCAGTTGCGAGGCCTGGCCATCGTGCATGATGATCGGGTCCATGTAGCCTGGCTTGCCGAAGAGGCGCTGCGTCGACAGGTGCGACACCTGCTGGTTGCCGCCGGCCGTCGCCTCTGCCGCGCGCGCGAGGCCCACGTCGGCGAGGTAGCCGTTGCCGCGCTCGTCGAGCAGGATGTTGCCCGCCGAAACATCGCGGTGCAGGATCATCGGAGAGCAGCTGTGCAAATAGAGTGCAGGAGCGCGCTCGCGGCGTCGCGCAAGACGCGGAGCCGTGCGGCAGAGGAGAGCGGCGGGGGCGGCGTCTCGAAGCCGAGCATGCGGAGCCGCTGCAGCGCGGCTGGAGTGCGAGTGGCGCGCCGCGTCTCTCGCGAGGCAGGCGGTAGGCGACGCGGCGTACGCCGCGGCGCATGCTGCTGGCGCTTCGCGGGCTGAGGCGTGCGACGCCGCCGTGAGGGCGGTGAGGTTGGACGAGGTTGAGGCTCAGTCCTCGTTCCTCGTGCGCGCTGGGTGGTACGGCTCCGGCCGTGATGGGGGCGGGGAGGGGGCGGGGGCGACGGCCGCACGGAATCGCCGCCGGCGGGGGGCGAGGGCGCGGGCGAAGGAGGAGGAGCCAGAGCCCGGGGAGGATGGGAGGGGGAGGAGCGGCCGGAGGAGTACGCCGGCCTCTTTGACGACCCGTAAGGGGCCGTCGCCTGCTGTGCCATTTGTAGTGCCAGTCCGAGCCAGTCTGCTGTGAGAGGGGCTTGGATGGTAAAATTCTTTTTCCCTGTGTCGAGCCTGTGTGCTGTGAGAGTGAGTTGCGTTGTTTGCTTGCCGAATTGTGGCGGCGCGGGCCTTGCAATCCGTGACGGTCGCTCCGCGCCCACTCATCCATGGCGCACGCATCCTTTGCAATCCGTGACGAGGCGTCTCTCAACGTGCTCATTCCGATGGGCGGCCGCGGCGAAGTCTTCCGCGAGGCCGGCTACGTCTTTCCAAAGCCGCTCATCAAGATTGCAGGCCGGCCGATGCTCTTCCACATGCTCGACAACCTGCAGCTGCGGCTGGGCGATGTGATCTGGCTCGTCGTGCCGCACTCGATGCACGGCCAGTACGAGGCCGAGTTTGCGCTGCTGCAGCGGCAGTATCCTGCTGCCGACATCCGCGTCGTCACCTTCAAGATGGTGACGCGCGGGGCGGTCGAGACGCTCTTCATCGGGCTGCAGCACATGTCGCCGGCCGAGCTGTCGCGCAAGACCCTCTGCCTCGACTGCGACAACCTCTACTTCTCCGACGTGCTCGGCGCCTTCCGCACGCTCCCGCGCGACACGTCCGCCTGCTTCTACTTCACCGACCGGGGGACGGCGGCGATCTACTCGTACCTGCGGCTCGAGGAGGGGAGCGGCGCGGTGCTTGAGGTGGCAGAGAAGGTCGCCATCTCGGACCACGCCAACGTCGGCGCCTACGGCTTTGCATCCTAGAAGCGGAGTACGCATTCTTGTCTCCCAACCAGCACTCGAGAGGACACGCACTCCGCTGTCTTCGACCGTCTTCCGCTGCGGTCCCTGTATTCTTCTCCGTTGTATTCACGCGGTGCTCTGAAGACGCTGCACAATACCGTCTTCCTGCCCCGAGGTTGGCGTATCCAACACGTAGGCTTTGCTTCCGGATCGCTCCTGCACCGCTTTGCGCGCGACGTGCTCGACGACCCTCGGAGAGAGGTCGTCTCTCCCCATCTCTCCCTCTGTCTCACCAGATCTCACGCTGTCTCCCCATATCTCCCCATATCTCGACGACCCGCCGAGAGGGCTCCCCTAACCCTCGCCCCCCCTCGCCTCCCTCGCCTCCCGCCCCCTCTCCAACACCTCTCCCCATCCCTCTCCCGCCTCGCTCCCCTCCCGCCTCGCTCCCCTCCCGCCTCGCTCCCCTCCCCTCCCTCCCCTCCCCTCCTCGGCCCGACCCTACCTCCGCCCCCGCCCCTCCTCGCGATGCATTACTATGTCTCCAACCTCATCTCGCGCATATCTCCCCATATCTCCCCACATCTCCCCACATCTCCCCACATCTCCCTCCAGGCGATGCATTACTACGTCTCCAACCTCATCTCGCGCATATCTCCCCATATCTCCCCACATCTCCCCAGGCGATGCATTACTACGTCTCCAACCTCATCTCGCGCATGCTCGACCAGGGACGCCCTTTCGTCGGTGCCATCCGAGGCGGCGACACACGCCGCGCCGCCAGGCGCCGTCCCCGGACATGTCCACGACTCGTCCCGTAGGCTTGCCCGCCGAGCAGACGTCGCAGTGTGGCGCGCGACTCTAGCCGTGGGGCCAATGCCAGCACAGTGCCAGCCCAGTGCCAGCCCAGTGCCAGCACAGTGCCAGCACAGTGCCAGCACAGTGCCAGCCCAGTGCCAGCCCAGTGCCAGCACAGTGCCAGCACAGTGCCAGCACAGTGCCAGCGCAATGCCAGCACAGTGCCAGCACAGTGCCAGCCCAGTGCCCCTCACCTGCCATATCTCCCCATATCTCCCCATATCTCCCCAGATCTCCCGCAGGCACGCCCACGAGGCTCGAGGCGTTCATCGACACGGTCGCCGCGGGGCGCGCGCTCGGCTCGATCAAGCGGCGCTTCTGCTTCGCGCTCGACGACGTGTTGGTCACGCACCCGCAGGCCATATCTCCCCACATCTCCCCACATCTCCCCATATCTCCCCCTATCTCGACGACGTGTTGGTCACGCACCCGCAGGCCATATCTCCCCATATCTCCCCACATCTCCCCATATCTCCCCCTATCTCGACGACGTGTTGGTCACGCACCCGCAGGCCATATCTCCCCACATCTCCCCATATCTCCCCCTATCTCGACGACGTGTTGGTCAAGCATCCGCAGGCCGCGCGACGTTGCCTCCCCCCCCCTCTCTCTCTCTCTTCCAACTCCACCTGTGACACTTGCGAGACTTGCGAGAGACACTTGCGAGAGACACTTGCGAGACTTGCGAGAGACACTTGCGAAGACACTTGCGAAGACACTTGCGAGACTTGCGAGAGACACTTGCGAGACTTGCGAGAGACACTTGCGACACTTGCGAGAGAGACTTGCGAGAGACACTTGCGAAGACACTTGCGAGACTTGCGAGAGACACTTGCGAGACTTGCGAGAGACACTTGCGAAGACACTTGCGAGACTTGCGAGAGACACTTGCGAGAGACACTTGCGAGACTTGCGAGAGACACTTGCGAAGACACTTGCGAGAGACACTTGCGAAGACACTTGCGAGACTTGCGAGAGACACTTGCGAGAGACACTTGCGAGACTTGCGAGAGACACTTGCGAAGACACTTGCGAGACTTGCGAGACTTGCGAGACTTGCGAGACTTGCGAGAGACACTTGCGAGACTTGCGAGAGACACTTGCGAGAGACACTTGCGAGAGACACTTGCGAGACTTGCGAGAGACACTTGCGAGAGACACTTGCGAGAGACACCTCCGAGACACTTCCGTGTGACACTTGCGAGAGCCGCCCCTTGTCCGCCCGCTTGGTGGTGCGACACGAGCTGTGCGAGCCCAGTGGCCGTCTGCTGCGGCGCGCAGCCTCCGTGATGCAGCCGCAAGGCTGCGACGCGACGTAGCAGTAGCCGTGTAGCGGATGTTGTCGCAGCTGGCAAAGCTCGCAAGCTCGCCGTGCAGGTGCCTGGAGACTTCTCGACCGTCAAGCCCATCGAGCGCAACATCCAGCTGGTCCGCGAGCTCAAGGCACCTCTCTCCCCACCTCTCCCCGCCTCTCTCCCCGCCTCTCCCCATCTCTCCCCCCCTCTCCCCACCTCTCTCCCCACCTCTCCCCCCCTCTCCCCACCTCTCCCCACCTCTCCCCACCTCTCCCCACCTCTCCCCACCTCTCCCCATCTCTCCCCATCTCTCCCCATCTCTCCCCATCTCTCCCCACCTCTCCCCCTCTCTCCACATCTCTCCACATCTCTCCACATCTCCCCCTCTCTCTCCCTCTCTCTC